TTTTGGGCACTTGTCAGGACGGTTGGCACCTCATAGGCTCCATTTTCCAGCCCCACTGCTCGCATGGCTTCCCCTCCTTGGTCTGGGCCACTGTCTGGGGTCGTCCATCCCTGTGGGCAGCTCCGAGGCCCGGCTGCACCCTTAAGGTTGTGGCATTTGTGAGACAGCAGCCCCGGCGGGACCACGTGTGGACATGGTGACGTTTCGTCAGGCTTTCCCAGGGTCGAGCGCTGAGAGAACAGTGAGGCCACCAGGGCTACTGCAGTGGGCATGTTGGCTTCTTAGCGTTTCCATGATGGCGCTGGGGGCGGTGGTTTGTGGATGTGCCAGGGTGGTGTCGGGGTGCAGTGCTGGGGGTATCCTGGCCTTCTGGGGGGGTTCTGAGAGCAGATGCAGGGTCGGGAGGCTCACTTGGTTCTAGCAGCCTGCATGTGCCTGCTCCTTCGCTCTGACTGCAGCCAGCAGGCACCCCCCACAAGCGCACTGCCGAAGCTCCCGGGGAGAGGGGAATCACCCCTGTGAAGCGCCTGGCTTGGGAAAGTTTTCCCCAGCCGGCCTGTCCTCTGCTCTATGGCAGCAGGGGCCCGGCCTTCTCTGGGTCTGTGTGTCACCCTCCCAGAGAGCCAGATTCTGTGGCACCTGCCCCTTTTTGGCGGGGGTACTCTTTTCCATGCGCTGGGTTACCCAGCTGCCCTCCTGGTTGCTGTGAGGCCAAATGAGGGAAAAGGAGGGAAAGTGAGCCCTTTCCATGTGAAAAGGATGGGTCTGTGACATTTAAGTGCCATCCGCAAGCCTGGGGGTGGGTGTGCACATCACCATTGTAGCCTCCTTCGCCTGCTGGGGCCCACAGCATCCTGGGAGCAACAGGCAGAGGTGGGGTGCGACTTCCTTCAATGCTTGGATGCTTCACTACCTTAAGGTGTCCCCGCCGAGGTTGCCAAGGTCCATGGGTGAGGTTCCTGATCAGACCTCCCCAGGACCTTCCTGCCTGTCTCTTCTCTAGCTGTGGGCTGGCTCTGGCTTGGGGGCTGCCATGGGCATGCAGACACTCCACGGAGGGCCTGGGCTTGCATTCCTGGTGGAGGTGGGGACAGGGGGCGGGGATGTCACTGAGGAAGCCAGGCACGCTTTTGCCCAGGACGCCATCCTCCCTTACGCACTTTATCACCTCGGGTGTCCTTCAAGGGTGAGCTCCCATGACAAGCAGAGAAGCCACCAAGCATGGAAGTGGGGGCCTATAGAAGCCCTTCCCCATCTCTTTCCCACTGTGCCAGCCTCGGAACCCTGGGAAGTGGAGAGCAGTGTTTTCTTAGTGCCCCAAGTGGCCAGGCAGGCAGGCGTGCGATGGCCCGAGCAGGACTCAGTTTGCCCCTGTTAGCAGTTCCAGCCTCCTGCCCGCCCTGTGTCCAGCCTGCGGGACAGTGACTGGGACCACAGTGGCTGTATCTGGAGCTCGCTCGGGGAGCCCTGAAAGTCAGCAGGAGTGAGAGGGTGGCCCAACAAGTAGGGTGTCAGGGAGGATTTCACTAGGGCCTGGGTGGGGGCATGCTGGGAGAAGGGCCCTGCACCCATGGGACCTGCCTAGGTGAATGAGATTGCGGGGTGGTGGGACGTGGAGCTGAGAAGGGGTGGGGCAGTGGGCCGCGGGCCTGGCTTGAGTGGGGGGCGAGGGATTGGAGAGAAAGGCAGTTCCTGATGGTCCCCTCCCCAGGGGCTGGCTTTCCTCTGGTCCTTCCCTCCCAATGACCACGTCTTCATCGAGGCCGCAGCCCTGGGCTTTGTGCCCACACCTCTGGCGCCAGGCTGCCTGGAGACCCATCAGTGGCCTTTCCTCCAACCACAGAGCCCTCTCTGCTACCCCTGTCTGGAGGGCAGGTCTGCCACCCACACAGGCTGGCTAGGATGGCGAGGTTCTGCAGCCAAGTTGGAGGGCTCTGCTTCTGGCTTGTGAGCATCAGTCGCCAGAGCTGCCCCCAGTGGATGGCCTTGCCCAGCAGCTGGGCACGCAGCCTGGAGAGGTGCACAGCAGGCCAAGGCCTACATGATGGCCTCTTCTGACAACCCGGAGCTGCATGTCCTCGGTGGGGCAGCATGACCCTGGTGGAGCAATCCTCACAACAATCCTCTGTCCTGGTAGGGCTCTGGGTGGGTGGGATTTCAGAAGTGATGGGTTGGCAGGGCTTCTCCCATTGACCATGTTTGGTCTGGTTGCTACAGGCAGTGCCGGTTGGCCTCTCCTGCAGTATTCTCATTTGTGGGAGAGACTAGCTCCCTGGGAGTGAGAAGGCCTATGTCTTCTGTGCTGGACCATGGCCCTGTGGCAGGTTCCCATCCCCTGCACCTGGCGGGTGGGGCCCCCCAGGAGGCCCCACATGCTTCCTACCTCCCTGCACAGCGTTCTGGACAATTTGATCTGTCCCATCAGCTGTGTCTAATCTGCTCATCTTAAATCCACTGCTGAGTTTTAATCCGTGGTTTCTATAGCTTCTGGTCCTAAAAGTCCTTTCCAGTGCTTTGTGAACCTCCTGATTTACTCTTTCTCACATCCTTTTCCTGCAAATATTCTCAAGCTTCTTTTTCTGCAGTGAGAGCCTGGTTGGTTTATGAGACATGTGGGGATCCCTTTCTGCTGGTCCTTGCTTACGGCGCTTTGTTTTGGTATGTGGTGTTCTTTCTGACTGTCCTGCTCTTTGTCCTTGAAATGATCGTGAGACTTCTCAGAGGTCTAGCATGAAGATGAGAACTTCGGTTCTCCAGGTGCCTAGGAGCACTACCAATCCAAGTCTTGGCATGAGGATCCCTGGACCCCCAGTGTGGCCCCGGCTGTGCTCTTGTGGCTTCTCAGGGACTCTCCCTACTTTGTGTGCTGTTCCTGTGGCACCTGGGGGTGGCTGTGATTAGAGCCCACCCTCACCGTAGGAGGGGTGCCTTTCAGGGTCCCAGCTCCACTCAGGGGAGGGTTTCCTACTACAGTCCCGTCTTGGGGACAGCCCTGGGGCTCGTCTTCAGTCTCCCTCACCTTGGGCGACCAGAGCCCAGTTTGCCCAGATGGGCTAGTGCCTCAGGGCAGGAATAGCCAGTGTACTCTGGTTTCTTTCCACTCTGGGTTTCCACGTTCTCCGAGATATTGGCCAAATCCTGCATGACCTTGTTAGTTCTTGGCTGTTTTTAAGATGTTTTCATATTCTTTCAAGCATTTTGAGTTGTTTTTACTAGAAGGGTCCAGTTCCAACAGCCTGCCCACCAGTCTTGATATCGTCAGGTAAGCCTAGGATGATATCCCTAGTGGGCACCCAGCCTGCTCCTGTCACCTTGGGGCCCTCTTCTGCATCGGGCACTGCCTTCGGCTCCATCTTCTGGCACCCTGCATTTCTGCAGTGGCACTGGTCACCATGGTGATGTCTCACCTGCACAGTCAAGGGTTTTACTGAGGACAGGGTTGGGTACCCTGAGGCATCACTGATGCCCGTGCCTGTAGGGGCAGGGGGGAACATGGGGCCGAGTCGTGGGGATCCCTCCAGGGCCTGTGGGAGCCAGTGGCTACAGTAGTCGAGTAGATCCTTCCTCCCTCTACTTCCCAGGCCAGCCAGACCAGTGAGCAGAAATGAGTGGAGAGGCAGGGACAGCATGATGTCATCCACAGGAAGACCTCCACGTGGCTCCGAGCTGTGGTCGTGTCCATGGTGCCAGCCTCAGACTTTGGCCCCTCCTTGGCTCTTCCACGCTCTGTGGTCAGAGCCCCTACCACCTGTCCACCCACCCACCCATGCTTGGGTGCTGGCACAGCTTAGATGGCAGGGTTGGCATGGTGGGAACGTCCTCCTTCTGAGTCCCAAAACAGAAAATGTTTTGCTTCGGAGACCCAAGATGTGGGGGCAGTCGTACTGGCATAGAGGGGGCCTCTCACCGCTCCTCTCTTCACCTGCCCAACCCCATGGTCGGGGTGTGCCTCTCGGGGCTGTCGTGTGTGGGTGCTGGGGACCCCTGGCCTGGGGCAGGGAGCTGGAGCCCCTCGCGGCCCACTCCTGCTCCTCCCACGCCTGAAGTACCCTCCCCCCCCACCTCCGTGTGGCTTCTCCAAGGCTTGAGGGCAGACGGTTTGGAGTGGCATGGTGTTTGTGGTTTATGTTGAAACCTGGAGCAAGGATGGGCAGGGTCTGGGCATCTCATCCCACCTTCTCCCAGCTGGGGCCCAGTTCACAGACCCTCTTTACAGATGCAGATCCCAAACCTTGCTCTAGTCGGTGCTGCGTTCTGGGCGGGTACTGCATGGACCCTCCCCAGTCCCAGGGCTCCCCAGGCTAGTGCACTCGGAGCTCAGTGGACACAGAGTCACACACATGCGTGCAGACATCTGCGGAAGCACACACACACAAACACCCACACATAACTATACACTCACACATGCATGCAGACCTCAAGGCCTCACGTACATGCACATACGCCGAACACTCCCTCACCCCCCTTGCTTCTGAGGCTCTTCTGGGGGCATCTTTTTGGCTCCCGTCAGTACCTCCGCAGCCTCTGTGTTGTCCGTTCCCTGGCTGTGGCTGCTGGCTCTGCCCTGCAGCCGTGCCCTGGCTCAGGCACACATGCAGGGCTAGAGATCCTCAGTCACCTTGTCCAGGGTCAGTGGCCTCAGGATTCCATCTCTATTCTCAGCTCGGTTAGGGGAAGAGATCTGCTGGCCCTATAGAGGCCGCCAGGTTCTCGTTCTTGCTCCTGTCGCTACCCTCCACATGGTGTGTCCAGGGCCGGTGAGCATTGCAGGCAGCGGGGGACAGTCTGGCCCGTGCTGATGTGTGTGAGCACTTAGGGACATGGTTGGGCGGTGCTGGTGAGCGTCACGGTGTCTGGTGTATGGTTCTGCCGTGTCCGCAAGGGTCAGGGGCATCCCAGAGGCGGTTCTCTTCTGGGCCAGGGAGCATTGCAGGTTCGGGGAGGCAGTGGTGTGTTGTGTGCTGTTTATTCAACACATTTTTTTTTTCCTTTTCCCGCAGACTGGTGACCCTGTGTGAACAAAGCTGCTCTCAGGGACCCATGTGCATCATCTTCTTTAAGTTCGATCCTCGCCCTGTTTCTAAAAATGCATACAGGTAACCCCCTTGCTCTGTGTCTGCTGTCCTCCGCTTGGCCTCGGGTGCCCCGCAGTCCTCATAGTACCCAGGTAGGGACAAGCTGTACAGGCTGGGCCTGCTCTGTCCAACAGCAGTTATTCAGTGTGGGGTGCAGCAGCGGGTACCGCCCGGTGGCAGGAACGCTGAACTGACATACAAAGGTGCAGAGGCTTAGCTGCTTAAGGTCGCTGGAGGGGCAGGACAGAGGAGCCATGTTGGGCCAGGTAGGGGCTCAGCCCTGTGGTTTCTGCAGGGGCGCCAGGGGCAGCAGAACTGGCTTGATGAGCAAGAGCCCCATTTAGACTGGGCTCGTCTGTGTTGCCAGTGGTAAGTCTGGGTGGTGGTGGCAACACAGGGTCTGTGGGTCCTGAGCTGGGGAATGAGGGTGGGGGTGGGGAAGCTGGGAGACCAGCAGAGGAGGTGGGAAACTGAGGCCAGAGAGGGATGAGACATGATCCAGTGCACCCCCCTCCTCCCCACGACCTTGGGCTCTGGATGTGCCCCTCTGTTCCTTCGGGCACCCAGTGGGAATTTTTCCGTGTTTTTCCAAGTATGAGGCTGAGAGGTAACCCACAACCAAAATGACATTTTAAACTGATCACTAGTACGATTGCTTGGAAAGTTTTCATCATTTTGAAATCTATACCAGAAATGATATGAACCATTTTGATTAGCTTCTTAGACTTGAGTCACCATGCAAAATTGCACAGATACCATGATGCCTAATTTCGTGCTGAATGAAACTCATTCCAGGCCAGGGGTTGGGGACTGAAGAGTCCCCAGTGTTCCCATGATGCAGAGGAATGGACAGCAGGGCCAGGCCAGAGTCCTGGAGCTGACCCTGCACGACCCCCAGCAGAATGAGCTGGGGTGCAGCCAGTGGGCAGGATCCAGGGGCAGTGATTTGAGCAGGGGAAGTGTAACATCCAGAATTATTAACTGTAACAGGATTGGAATGCCCTGGGTGGAACCCCGTCTTCCACCCTCAGGCTGAGAGCCAGACCTTGCTGGAGAGGTTCAGCCGCGGCACACCGGATAGCAAAGAAATCGCTGGGGTGCCACGGCAGCAGAACTTGCTAGGAGTCTGCCCTGCTGTGTGCTGGCAACTGTCGCGGGAGGATATTGGGGGGAGGTGCTGGCCACTGGGTACGTGGGGGAAGCCACATGTGTAACCGGACTCCTCCTGGGGGAGCCGGGCACGTTGCCAGGTGTGTCCTGCGGTGTCTCTCCAGCACCCTCTACTGACGAAACTTAATATGGTACTAGCTCCAAAGTTCAGCTGCTTTATCATGAGGAGGCAGTGGAGGGCAAATTTGGGGCTGAGACATAATAGCTGGATTACTGACACGGTCTACCCCTTTGGCTACTGAGGTTTCATGTGCACCGTTCTGTGCTCACATGAACTCTCACGCACCAACAAAATGACTCTGTTTTGACCTGAAGTGAAGGATTTCTCACACGGGGACACGCAGCCTCACAATTCCTGAGTCTGTTGCTGGCTATATTTACTACCAGATTCAGCTGCAGCCTCCCTGGAAATGCTGTTTCCCGAGGTTACCTCCAGTCTTCTGCCGTAAAATAAACATGGGAGGAAGGAGGAAGGAGCTGTCTTGCTTTTGCTTGGATCCTGTGCGTCACTGCCAAGACCTCTCCTCATAACGACTCCCTGTGGATTGTGATTCGAGACAACCTTAGTGTTTCTCTCCAGTGTATTCCAAAGCCCTAAGCCAAAAACTAAACATACCACCGCTGGTGACTGACTGAATACACTTGTTGTTTACCCTATTTCATGGGGGGGGGTAGGCAAGAGGGACTTCCGGTAGCTGCTCCTACTCTAGCTGTGGGGTTGTCTGGCCCTTGAGAATGGGTGGGCTGTGGGCCCTTGGTATTCATGCTTCCGTACGTGTGTGATGGAGAAAAGGATGGGAGGAGCAAGGAGGGGGCCGCATGGGAGGCACACTGCAGCAGGACCAGTGAGGAGAGGCCAAGCCTGGGCCTGTCAGAGGTTGGAGAGGGGTTTCCGGTACCTAGAGTGGAATGGGGAGCAGGCCAGGCTCCAGGGCCATTGGTGTGGTGGGGAGGAGGCCCTGGCTAGGCAGCGCTGCCAGGAGCCAATGGGGCCAGCAGGACCTGCCCCAGCGTCCCTCACTTGGGCTCCCTCCTGCTTTAGCCATCCCTGTCCTGGCCTGGGATGCACCAGCCTCTGCCTGCCCGCGTTGGCATGCACTGCTGTGTCTTCATCTCCCACCCCCCGACCTAATAAATGGCAGGAATAGGAGTGTGTGCCATTCTAACCATTGACAAGTGTCCAGTTCAGTGGCATTAAGTACATTCACGTCGTTGTGCAACCATAGTGTCCTCAAGATCATGGTGTAGCATGTGTCAGAATCTCCTTCCTTCTTAAGGCTCAGTAACATCCCACTGTATGCAGGACCACATTTTTATCCATTCATCTCTTGATGGACACTTGGACTATTTCCACTTCTTGTCTATTGTGAGTCATACCGCCGTGGAGATTAGCATACAAGTGTCTGTCTGAGTCCCACTTTCCATTCTCTTGGGGGTATACCCTGAGGCAGAATTGCTGGATCATATGGCAGTTCTGTTTTCGACTTTCTGAGGAACTGCCAAATTGTTTCCCGCGAGTGTCTTTCGATGGCCGTGCCATAGGCTTCTTGACCCATGCCAGCCCATGTATCCGTTTGGTAGCGGAGTATGTCTTCACGGTGTGTCATCATTGTTCATTGTCCAGACCAAGTTCTCTCCCACCAAGCCAGACAAGCCAGGTGCCAGGGCCACCATCCACTTGGACTCTGCTGCCCACCAAGCTGGTCCACATGGCTGGGACCCATCGAAGACCCTGTGCTCCGTGTGCTCTCTTAGGCACCCTCAGTATCATCACACGTGCAGTGGCCTCTTGGCACTTGGGGTAATGGGAAGCACCTGGTTTTGTTTGTGGGTTGAGCTCACCCCTGCAGTCATTGCTGCTCCAGGGTCAGATGGTTGCGAAGGGGACTTTTATAGCTGGAATGGTGGCCATCCTTGCCATGGAAAGTTGACCTTTGAACAACATGGATTTGAACTGTGCAGGTCCACTTACATGCTGATTTTTTTTTTTAAGATTTTATTTATTTATTTGACAGAGAGAGACACAGCGAGAGAGGGAACACAAGCAGGGGGAGTGGGAGAGGGAGAAGCAGGCTTCCCGCTGATCAGGGAGCCCGATGCGGGGCTCGATCCCAGGACCCTGGGACCATGACCTGAGCCGAAGGCAGACGCTTAACAACTGAGCCACCCAGGCGCCCTGACATGCTGATTTTTTAAAGTACAGTACTATAAAATGTATTTTCTCTTCCTTATGATTTTTTTTTTTTTAAGATTTTTAATTTTTTTTCGAGTAATCTCTACACCCAGTGTGGGGCTCAGACTCACAACCCTGAGATCAAGAGTCATGGGTTCCACCGATGAGCCAGCGAGGCGCTCCTCTTTATGATTTTCTTAATAATGTTTTATTTTTCTCTAGCTTACTTTATTGTAAAAAATACGGTATGTGATACACATAATATATAAAATACATGTGAATTGAACTGTTTATGTCATTGGTAAGGTTTGTGGTGAACAGTAGACCAGTACTAGTTAAGTTTTGGTGGAGTCAAAAGTTATACATGGATTTTTGGGGAGCCTGGGTGGCTTACTCGGTTAAGCATCTGCCTTTGGCTCAGGTCATGATCCCAGGGGGCGCCCTGCCTAGTGGGGAGCCAGATTCTCCCTCTCCCTCTGCTGCTTCCCCTGCTTGTGTTCCCCCCCTCTCTCCCTCTCTGTCTCGGTCAAATGAATAGATAAGATCTTAAAAAAAAAAAGTTATTCCTGGATTTTTGACTCTGTGGGGAGGGGGGTTGGTGCCCTTAACCCCTGTGTTTAAGGGTCAACTGTCTATGTAAATTATTTAAATATCTGTCTGCCCTACAGAAAAGAATGAGACATCCTCACCTTTGGTGCTGTGGGCAGTGTCACCCACGGCTCTGCCATTGCCAGATGCTGATCTCACGGGAATGTGTTTTCTGACCTCCCAGGAGTCAGTTCCTGGAAGATGAGCCTGTCCCTGTCATGCCCTGCCTGGGACCGGCCCAGTGATGGTGGCGCTTGGTCTGTGCCTGCCACTTTGCAGGCCTGCTGGTGAAAGGCATGGCTCCTGAAGCATCTCTCCTCTTGGGCCTCGTTCAAGCATCGTATCATCTGTTTCCCCACGAGAGAAAGTGTAGCCCACTGCGGAGCATGCATCTTGTGGTCTCTTCCCCCCAGATTTAGCAGTCACAGTGTGTTGCTGAGTGACGCTCACCAGGTGCAGGCAAGGAGGGAGCCAGCTCAGCACCTGCCCAGGGAGTGAATGTGAGCATGGCCACTTCTGCAGAGCATCTCCAGGCCTGACGCTGGGCTGGGCCCTGGTGTCATGGATCCCATGGTCTACACCTCCCATCCCCCATGTCACCATCCCACTGCCCCTCGCTGTTGGGGATACCCATCCCTCCAGATGTGGCAGTGGTCCCCAGGTCACATCCCACTGCTGCCTCCCCGCAAACACTGCCCTGGCATGACTCCCCAAACACCCTCGGGCCTCCCCATCTGTCTTCTTGGTGCTGAGCTGGCCCTGGTAAGGTGGGCTCCTTGGGTGTCACTCCCTCCTGGGGTTGCCTGTGGCATGAGGCATCATGGCCCCTGCCCAGATGTGGGATTCCCCTGGGTGATCCCAGCCTCTGCCTCCCATGCCTGTTGTTACCTGGCACTTGGAACCTCCAATTTTTGGTGATGATTACCCGGTGTGAGTACTGTCTGGGCGCCTGTTGGTTCTGTTCGTTTTAAATTTTAGTACGGATATCTGCAGCACTGAGGCAAGGAGTGTAGCAGATAAGAAATTATTTTAGCAGTCTATGAGATGCTGACTTAGAACTTTTCCGTGCTGGCTGCAGCTTTGCCCCGGCATCCCAGTGACTTTGCTCTGTAGAGGCAGCGGTGTTTCCCTGGGATTCTAGTTATTTCCCTGATTGTAAAGGGGTACATGCTCTTTGAAAAAAAGTCATACCCTACAGGATGTACAAAGTAAAATGTGAGCTCCCGTAACCCTTGTGGTAGGCTGATGGCTCCCAAGATTCCTGCCCCCGCTATACACACCAATGTCATTCATTCCCCTGGTTGTGTGTGGGGCTGTGAGGCTAAATGTGAAGGGATTTTGCCAATGTGACAAAAGTCCCTAATCGGTTGAGTTGGAGTTAGTCAAATGGAAGCAGTCCTGGGTGGGTCTGACGTAATCAGGAGAGCCCCCAGGTGGGGCCAAGCCCCTTCCTGAAGAGGTAAGCTGCTGTGCTTGGAGGGGCCCATGGCCAGGAACTGGGGGTGGCCTCTAGGAGTTGAGAGTGACCCCGGCCTAGGATGGGAATTCTGCAGCAACCTCAGGAACATAAGGAAGATGCCGAACCTCAGCGACACCCTGCTGGGCGGCACCTCGGGTGCTACCTCAGGGGCTGCTGAGCAGAGCACCCAGCACATCCCGGCCCACGCTCCTGACCATGGACTGAGATGAGAAGTAGGCGTTGCTCTAAGCCGCTGTATACGCACGCTATGTGTGTGGCAATCTGTGGGGCCCCATAGAAAACCAGTATGCTTCCCATCAGGTAGCACTGTCATGGCTGTCATATAACCACCATCTTTATCAAAATGTCTGTGTAGACTCATGAGCTGATTCCCCTCGTTGGCTCCAGTCTGCAGGACCTGCTGGGCGAGCTGTCACATCCTTCTGGTGGCTTCCACGGGACTCATCACTGCTGGTGACATCACTGGGCCATGGGCCTGTGCACCTGCTACTTGGCGCTAAACTCTCCCCAGATGGTGCAGAGATCCCCCACCCCATAGTACACAGATTCACCGCCCCGAGATGGTGCCCTGACTCACCTTCTAGACGACACACAACTCACCCGCCAGATGGTGCACACGCCTACGTCCCCCAGATGGTGCACTGACTCACCGCCTAGATGGTATACAGACGCACCCTCCCAGATGGTGTGCAGACTCAGCCATCCCAGATGGTACACACTCACTCCCCAGATGGTGTGCAGACTCCACTATCCTAGATGGTGTGCAGATTCGCACTCTCAGGTGGTACACAGACCTACCTAGTACCTCCAGACAGTGCACAGACTCACCCCCAGTAGCAGGGTGAGGAGTGCCCATCGATGAGTAATTAGTGGTTTCAGTTATTAGAACAAAACAAACCTGACTTGCCGTCCTCAGAGCCCCTGACTGGTGGGCATGGCCCCTGCCCCTGGGCGCTGTGGCACAAATGGACTTTTATTGGTGTTGCAGTACCCGGAAGTGCTGAGTGAGGGAATACTTTCTCTTACTTGGAGCCTTGATGTGGGTACTCATCATGCCCACCTGTCTCCCAATTAGGTATTTAATGAAATCCCCAGCAAACCACTAGTAATTCAGCTAAATAGTGACTCTTACGGCAGAAATAACTGGGCAGTTATTAATATTCCTAGTTATTAACAAATGCGTGTCACTGCTCCTTGTTTTAAAAATAGTAGGGAGTTGAAAATCTTAGGACAGAAGGTTCTGCTCAGTCAGCTTTTTTTTTTTCTCCCTAATTTTTCCTTTTCTGGAGACTTACCTAAGAATCAGAACCAGAAGTCAATAGCACCAGTCTCCATTTGGGAAGCACCTCCGCGGCCTCCGCGGCGCCCCCGACCCCTCTCAGCACAGGTGTCAGGATGAGTGAGCAGAGGAGTGGTGCTGGGGGTCAGAAGGTGGACACTGTTTTATGACTACGTGGAATGACCTCCACCCACAGGGGTTGGTGGGGTGCCCTGCCCATACACGCAGCCTGTGGGAGCAGTGCTAGCTGGGTTGGGTCCAGAATTGAGTCGCAGAAGGAAGGGACAAAGCAGATGTGGCAGAAGATAGAGGTCAGGGCCCGGCTGGCTTCTTCTTAAGGCTGTCTTCCTCAAACCGGGGCTGGGGTCCAGCAGGTGGAGCTGCAGAGGATTGTTTTGTGAATGGCTGGGTTTCGTATCAGGGACAGCGACTCCTCCCTAAGTGCCTGTCCCTGAGACCTGGAGCAGCCTGGAGTGCTGTGTCTGGGGGGATAGAGGGCTGCCGCAGCCTGGACAGGTGTCCCGAAGGTGGTGAGACTCCCAGGGCAGATCTGGAGGGTTTGATGGCCACCGCCAGGCCTTGGCCATGTTGGTGCCTGTGGCTGGGGCTGCGTGGGGAGGTACAGATTTGTGGGGGGGGCTACTGCACGCTGTGTGCACAGGATGAAAGTGCTTCTGTGGGCCTGGGCAGTGGTGCGGGTGCCAGTTTCACTTTCAGTTTTATGAACTTTATTAACTCACATTTTACCACAAGCAAATGTCCATAAAAATCTTATTTTTTTTTTTTAAGATTTTGTTTGTGCGAGCCGGGTGGAGGTACGGAGGGAGAAGGACAGGCGGACTCTCCGCTGAGCAGGGAGCCCGATGCGGGACTTGATCCCAGGTCCCTGGGATCATGACCTGAGCCGAAGGCAGACACTTAACTGACTGAGCCACCCAGGTGCCCCTAAATGTTCATAAAAATCTAAGAATCAATACAAAAATTATTTTTGAAGACTCCTTAGGATCTGACCACTGACTAGACTGACTTGGTTTCAGACCCAGTGTGACCACAGGCGGCCAAGCCGTAGCTCCTGGCCCCGTGTCCTTTGCGCACCTGCTCGTGGTGCTCAGAGGTTCCTTTGGCTTTCGCTTCTTAGACCCAGAGGTCTCATGGACGTGGCAGCCCCACTCAGTCACAGTCTGTGTTCTTATTTAAAAGGGCAAAGCCCACTAGAAGCTTTATTTTCTTTTTTTTTTTTTTAAGATTTTATTTATTTATTAGAGAGAGAGAGAGAAACAGCATGAGAGGGGAGAGGGTCAGAGGGAGAAGCTGGATCCCTGCTGAGCCGGGGGCCCGATGCAGGACTCGATCCCGGGACTCCGGGATCATGACCTGAGCCGAAGGCAGTCGCTTAACCAACGCCACCCAGGTGCCCAGAAACTTTGTTTTCTTATGTTAAAACTAGAACTCTTTTGAAAATGTTGACATCTTCTCTGCTTGCCAACAAAAAACTTTTGGATTCATAATGCAAAAAACTAGAGAAACACAGAAGTTCTTACCCACTTCCTTCCCCCAAACACTCCAAAATGCAGGACAGCAGCCTCCAGAGATCCTGTGCTCTGCGGCTGCTCCACATGTCCCCAGGGCCCTTCTGGCGGGCCTGCTCGCATTTCTAGGAAGTCACGGGCTCACTGGGGATGGCCTCGGGGGAAGGGACAGATGGGCAGAAGGGGTACTTCTCTGCCACCGGGGCACCTGGGACATGCCTGTGCAGGTCCTGCTGCCCTTTTTGGCTAAGTGGGGTATGCAGGGTGGGATGGGATATGCGTCTTTGCCCAGCATCGCCTGTCTGTCACGGTCCTGGGGCACAGTCTTTGCTAGGAAACCCACATGTCTGGCGCCATCACTGACCTTTGTCTCCTGAGGGTTCCTGTCCTCTTTAGGACTTGCCTGTGTTGCTAACGGAGGCAAATTTTCTTTGTTAACAGGAGAAAAAATTGGCTTTTCTGTTTTCCCCTGAGACCTTTAGTCATGCTTTCTCTTTCAGGCTCATCCTGGCGGCCAACAGGGATGAATTTTACCACAGACCATCCAAACTAGCTGACTTCTGGGGGAGCAACAATGAGGTCCTCAGTGGTGAGTCTTTCTTCGGGGGGGGGCGGCCACAACATGGCAGGAAGTAGGAGCCCCAGAGTGCTTTTAACTGTTAATGGTACTGCCTCTCAGTGTAAGTGCAGAATGAAGGAGTGGACACTGACTGGTCTCATGGGGGAGGCTCCCAGGTTGGGGTCTGGGGCGAGCATTGAGGTGACCAGCCCCGAAGTGTCTACCCAGCACCATCCACGTGGTTTCATGTGTTGTGGGTTCCCAGAGAAGGAGCTGGAAGGATCAGTTCGTTTTATTTGTATCCACCTTTTCGCTGTGCACGTGTGGTTGGGTTTGTATGAGGTGCAGGTTCACATTCGGTCACTCTGTGAAGCATCGTAGTTTGTGTGTGCATGCGCGCGCACGCACACATTTGTCTTTACACACCAGCACGCCTCACTCCAGAGATGGTCTGAATTTGGGGAGCAGAGGCTTGGTTGGAGCACATTCAGATGGGAGCTGCATGAGGAGTTCCCACAGAGGGAGGCAGAAGCGGAGGTGACAGCTGTGTCCCCTGCCAGCTCAGCGGGCAGCCTCCCTGAGCCCTGTGGACAGAGAGCAGTTTCTGCCCATGGGGTGGACAGGGGTCTACTTGAAGGGCATGTGGACAGGTGTTGGCCAAGCCAAGGTCCCTCTGCCTGCGAGCTAGGTATCAGGGAAGCACAAAGGAGCCTGGCAGGGCTGACAGGGGTGCTCAGGTGCCCAGTGGGCTGAGTGAATGGCCTCAGGGTTCTGGGGACACCAGGTGTGCCCTGCTTCACCTGCAGCATCTAAAAGCTTGACTGGAACTTACACAGAAGGCCTCCTGTGTAGACTGGTTGGGCGTTGGTGTTAGGAAAACACTGCCCAGGCTGGATTGTTCTGGTGCCATGTGGGAAGAGGGCAGGAGTGGGGAGACTGAGGCAGGGCAGTGTTGTGGACAGGAGGTCTGGCAGGTGGTGGGGAAAGCTATTGTGAGCCTGTGAGATGAGACCCCTCTCACTGAGAGCAAGAGGGAGAAGAGGCTAGGTCTCTGGGTTATGTCTTGGCCTCCTCAGAAGCTGCACGGGAGACCTTGGAAATGTCTAGACGTGCAGACAGAAGTGGGGGGCCAGAGACCCCTGTTGTGTAAGCTCCAGGTACTTCAGTACAGTAACCCCAGGGGGGCCATGTATGTGGGGTCCTTGGCTGGGCCAGCCATGACTCTCTCAGGGGTCGAGGGTCAGGCCTGCAGGGCAATGTGAGGAGGGCTGAGGGGAGCCTGTGGGCCTGGCCAGTACCATGCCAACCATCCTGAGCTAGAGTAGAATGGAAGGGGGTCATGGGGATGGGGCAGGCTGTGTGTGTTGCTGCTGCAGGGCATGAATGGGTGGCTGTAGTGGCGTGGGAGGGTGGGGACTGGTCAGGGTGGGTGGGGTGAGGGGTGAGGGCCTGATGGCATTTCTTGAGTATTTTTGTAGAACAGGGCACAGATGAAGGGTTAGCCTGTTTGGGCTCCTTTGGCCATCCTGGCCACCTGGGCTCCATGCTGCTTAGGCACTCAGGCCTGCACCCTGCCCCTAAATCAGGGCCAATCCCTACTGAGGGGTTCCAGCCACTTGGAATCCTTCACCCTTTGTAGTGATTTGGAGTTGGTCTCTGGCATGCTCATACGGAGCTCCTGCCTAGTGGGAGGGTGGCCCTGCTGCATGACAGTGCCGGGTGGGCCCAGTGGCCACTGCACCCGTTAGGGCTGGAAGACACTAAGATCCACATCCTCCCACCATCTGACATACCAAATTGTGTGCAGAATTGTAGGCCAGTGGTTCTCCAAATGCGATCTGTGAGCTAGTAGCATCAGCATTGCTTGGGAACTTGTTAGAAGTTTGGAAAAATTCGGGTATTATTTTTTAAAATATTTTTTCTGTCTCCTGCTCTCTCTTCTTGATCTCTTTCCCTCTCTCTGCCTATTCACACATATATTAGTTTTCTTGAGGTTGTCCCACACTTTGATGACACTCAGTTCATTTTATTAAAAGATTTTATTTCTCAGTTTTTTAGAGAGAGTGTGCACACGGGTGTGCATGATGGAGGGGAGGGGCAGAGGAAGAGAGAGAGAATCTCAAGCAGATACACTGCTGAGCGCAGAGCCTGACTCGGGGCTCAGTCTCACGACCCTGAGGTCATGACCTGAGCCAAAATCAAGAGTCAGACACTTCACTGACTGAGCCACCCAGGCACCCCTGATAATGCTCAATTCATTTTTAAAAACGCTCTTTTCTCTCTGTTTTATTTTAGATCATTTCTATTGCCATAACTTCACATTCACTAATCTTTCTGCGGTGTCTAATCTGCTTTTAACCCCATCGTATATGTTTTTTCTCTCACACATTGTAGCTTTTATCTCTAGAAATTCAATTTTTCTATCTTCTTTTTATGTTCTTAACTGTTTTAGCATACAGAGTATAGTTTTAGTAGCTGTTTAAATATCCTTGTCTGTAAAGTCTGATGTCTGTGTCAGTTCCAGTTCAGTTTGACTAGATTGATTGAACTTTTAGTAAGCGGGGTCATGTTTTTCTGCTTCTTTGCATGCTTGGTAATTTTTGATTGGATGCCAAACATTGATGGGTTTTATCTTGTTGGGGACTGAATATTTTTGTTTATAAATATTCCTGAGCTTTGTTCTGGGACACAGTCAGGATGCTCAGAAACAGTTTGATCCTTTCAGGTCTTGCTTTTAAGATTGGTTAAGTGGCTCTGAAGCTATGCCCAGTCTAAGGCCAATGATCCCCTACTCCTCAGGCAAGCTCCTTCTGTCTTCCCTTGCCTGTGCTCCTTGGATCTTGAGGTTTTCCAGGCTGACTTCTAGGAACAGGCACTATTCCCAGCCCTGCGTGAGCACTGTCTCCTCTAATCTTTCTGGATGGTTCTTTCCTTGCCTCGGGTGGTTTCCTCACGCACACGCACCGATCAGCTGTCTGGGGCTCTGTGCGGCTCTCTCCTCTCTGGTTCTCCGTCCCGGGAGCTCTGGTCTCCTCAGTCTCCCCCAAATCCCAGCCCTTCTCCTCGGCCAGGGAGTCCGGTGGACTCTGCCTGGGTCTCCTCCCCGTGCAGTGTCCTGGAGACTCTCTCCAGTCTTGGGGTTCGCCTAGTTTATTTCTTGTCTCAGAGTTCTGTGTCCTTTGTTTTTTGATGTCCAGTGTCTTGAAACGCATTGTTTCATGTATTTTCTTTTGGTGGTTTTAGGTAGGAGAGTAAATCTGGTCCCTGGTGATTGGCCAAATATGGAATTCTTGTTTACTGTTCAGTGCTTGAGTTGTAGGAGTTTTTTATGCATTCTGGATCGGAGTCCCTTGTTGGATAAATGTATTGCCTCCTCATTTTCTTTTTCTTTTTTTTTTTAAATTTTATTTATTTATTTGACGGAGAGAGAGAGAGCGAGAGAAGGAACACAAGCAGGGGGAGTGGGAGAGGGAGAAGCAGGCTTCCCGCGGAGTAGGGAGCCCAATGTGGGGCTCGATCCCAGGACCCTGGGACCATGACCTGAGCCGAAGGCAGACGCTTAATGACTGAGCCACCCAGGCGCCCCGCCTCCTCCTCATTTTCTTAATGACAGTTTCTGGTGAGCAGAATATTTTCTTTTAGTGAAGTGAAGTTTACTCTTTTATGGTTTATTCTGTTTGTGTCTTTGCCTACCCGAAAGCCATAAAGATGTTTTCCTCTTTTTGCTTCTAGAAGCCTTTTGATTTGGGGTTTTGTGTTTAGGTCTATGATTTATCTTACATTTTTGTACTTGGTGTGAGGTAGGGGTTGAAATTCATATCTCAAGTTCTCCTAGCCTTATTTATTGAATAGATAACTCTTTTGCCTATTGCATTCCTATGGCAACGTGGTTGAAAATCAGTTGAACACACGTGTGTGTATCTATTTTGGACTCCTTTGTGTGCCATTGATCTGTTTGTCTGTCTTGATGACAACATCACACTGTCTCGATTGCTGCAGCTTTTTTAGCAATTTTTTTTTTAAAGATTTTATTTATTTATTTGACAGAGAGAGAGAGACAGTGAGAGAGGGAACACAAGCAGGGGGAGCGAGAGAGGGAGAAGCAGGCTTCCCGCGGAGCAGGGAGCCTGACACGGAGCTCGATCCCAGGACCCTGGGATCATGACCTGAGCCGAAGGCAGCCGCTTAACGACTGAGCCACCCAGGCGCCCCTTTTTTAGCAAGTTTTGAAATCAAGTGGTGTTAAGTCCTCCAGCTTTGTTCTATTTCAGGACTCCTTTGGCCATCCTGGCTCTTTTGTGTGTGCATATAAATTTTAAAGTCAGCTTGTTAATTTCTATAAAATAGAAAAGCTTCCTGGGATTTGGATTTGGATTGTGTTGACTCTTCTGGCCATTTGGAGAGAACTGTTGTCTTAACGGTATTGACTCTTCGGTTGAGGAACAGGGCATCTCTGTCTCTCTTTTAGTTACAGATTCTTGACTTCTCTCAGCACTGCTCTGTGGTTTTTAGTCTTTAGGTATTACACATTTTTCCTTAAATGTTTTCCTATGTTTTATTTATGCTACTGTAAATGGTATCTTTAAATTTTCATTTTTCTGATTCTTGTCTTTATTTACTTAGCAGTTCTAGTAGATTTTTTTAAATTAATTTATTTTTTTTAGTAATTTTTTTTTTTTTTTTTTTTTTTAAAGATTTATTTATTTGAGAGAGCGAGAATGAGAGACAGAGTACATGAGAGGAGAGAGGGTCAGAGGGAGAAGCAGGCTCCTCGCCGAGCAGGGAGCCCGATGCGGGACTCGATCCCGGGACTCCAGGATCATGACCTGAGCCGAAGGCAGTCGCTTAACCAACTGAGCCACCCAGGCGCCCCTTTTTTAGTAATTTTTGTATCTAACATCAGGCTCAAACTCAGGACCCTGAGATCAAGAGTCCCATGCTCTTCTGACTGGGCCAGCCAGGTGCCCCCAGCAGATTTTTTTTTTTCCCTGTAGATTCCTTTTGGATTTTCTTCACCTGGAATCCTCTTGTCTACAAATACAGTTTACTTCTTCTTTTCTGATTTTTCTATCTTTTTTTCTTTTACTGTTATAACTTATTATTACTATAAAAGTGATATTTTAATGATTTAGCTGCTTTTACCCCAGTCTTCAACTGAAATGATCTCTAATCTAGGAAGACACTTTGCTATGACTTAAAGGGCCTCACCGACCCAGTGGTGAGGCCCCATGGAGGGCTTAACCATGACCTGGGCCTATGGGGTGTAAATAAAGCAAACAGGTGGGCCTGGATGTGCTCCGAACTCCTAGTGAAGCACCCAGCCTGAGGGCCTATGTGTCCTGCTGGGGGAGGACAGCCAGCGGCCCTGCACCTGATCCAGGATGTGGGATTGGGGCCTGGTGCCGTTGCTAGGATGGAGCTGGTACTGTGCTCTCAGCCCAGTGTTGATCCGAGCATCAGGATGCATTCCACACATGCCAGGTCCCACCGTAAGCTTTCTGGGGCTCCGTGGGCATCAGATGTCATCCTGGGAGCACGATCTCTCTCACATGCCCTGTGGGCTTTAGGGCTGCCTTGCCCTGAGTAGTTCAAGCCCCTATTCCTTAGCCAGGGCTGCCAGGCTGAGCATGTATCTCCCTAGGACACAGGGCCAGGGCAGTAGGTGCTACTGGTGGTGACACTATCATCTGTCACAGGGCTTGACATGGAGGAAGGCAAGGAAGGAGGCACGTGGCTGGGCATCAGCACACGGGGGAAGCTGGCTGCACTCACCAACTACCTGCAGCCACGGCAGGACCCGGATGCCCGGGGCCGAGGTACCATGGGGCTGTGGTGGAGGGTGCGGGGCAGGGGGGCGGGCTTTCCTGGGCACATGTGGACACAGGAGGAGGAAGAAGGGGAAGTGGGGTGTTTCCGGCTCTGAGGCCCACTGGCTGGCATCACTGTGGGAATCCCCCCTCCGCCTGGCCCCTACAGCACCTACCTGCACAGACATGGTTTGCCCCTCTCAGGGAACACTCTCCACATTTGTGCCCCAGGCCAAAGTGTCACTTCTGGCTGTTGTCATTGTCCCCCACCTGTCAGATGTTTGCAGAGCAGTACCCCGTGGGAAGACAGCTCTATGGACACACATTGTCCCCACTGAAGATTTTTTTCTCCTCATGCTGTACTTCCATTTAGGGTGTAATGGCAGAAAAAAAAAAATGAAAACCCAACAAAAACAGAGTTCTTGATGTAGACCTCCTTAGATGCCAGGGGAATGAGGTACGGCTCCCCAGGACGAGGGACTCAGCCCTGCTGCCTCGGCCATGTGTGTCTGTCCCCTACCCACAGGTGAACTTGTGACCCATTTTCTGACTACAGACATGGACAGCTTGTCCTACTTGAAGAAGGTCTCTGCGGAGGGCCACCTGTACAACGGCTTTAACCTCATAGCAGCTGACCTGAGGTGGGTCTGCTGGGAGGGAGACGGCAGCCCATCAGGCACTGCCACAAAGCTGAGTTGTGGGCTTGACGGGAAGTGGGGTTCCCGCCCTGCCACTCAGCTTGGGGTACTGCAGCAGCCTCTGCAGGGACATAGCTCCTGGTGGGCATGGTGAGGGTCCCCAGGGCCGGCCGACTGTTGCGGAGCCGTAGGGATTGGAGCCCGGGCTTCCTGAAGCAGCGTCAGGGTTGCTGGCTTCTACGGGCGAGCTATAACAAGACTGCAGCGGGCATCTTCAGTCACGGGGGGCACCCCTTGCCCACACCGGCCCCTTGCCCCTGAGCTCTCCTCCACGTGTCCGTGGCTCAGGAGTGCCCTGTTGTGGAGCTGCACCTCACTTGCCCTGTTCTGTGGTGCGCAGAGGTGCCCCAGGCTGGAGAAGGAAGGCCCAAGCACCGCTGACTGGGGTCCAGAGCAGCTGGTGGTGGTCAGGTGCTGCTGAGCTCGGGGGCCTCACGGTGGCTTCTTCAGGGAGGTGTGTCTGAGCATGTGGCCTGGCTCATCTCAGGTTCTGCAAGGGGCTCAGTGGAAAGCTCCCAGGGCCCGTCTGGAGTTGTCAAGGGGCAACAAAGCTGTCCCAGCTGCCCACGGGCCTCATCACCAGAGGATGTGGAGGCTCTGCTGCGCAGTCATTTGGGGGAAGTCTTCCCCTATCTGGAATCGGGCAGATAGGCAAGGAGCAGAGGCAGGAGGAAGGGCCCCCAAGAGGCCTGGAGCCTCGGGTGCCTGTGCCGGCTGTGAGTCAGGAGGCAGGTTGCTGGAACCCGGCAGGGGCCTGTGGCCGTTGGGGTGTTGCCAGGCCCAGTGAGGCACTCAGAGGTGCAGCAGTAGCTGGCAGTTGCCCACATGGCCATGTGGGGGTGGATGCTGAGCCCTTCATGTGCAGCACCTGGCACATCCTCACAGCCACCCCGTGTGCACCTGCTGCGGCCGAGCTCCGATGTGGCGAAGACCCCTGCTGGTGTGCGGTGGGGCTGGGGTCCCCTGGTGCTGCTTTGGGCTGTTGGCTGGGGTCCAGGTGGCCCTGGAGACCGTAGCCCCATCCCACCGAGTGGGCACCAGGTTGGGGAGGAGCACTGCGCTCATGGCCGTGACAGCTTGCAGCATCTGTGTTTCTACCTGAGGTGCTGGCTGGCTATTGTTGGGTTGTGGCCTGGCTTCTCCGAGTGTGTTTATCTCTGTGGCTCCCGTGCCTGGACCCTGGCCATGGCCCTGCAGGAGCTCAGGCGCCAGCCGCACTGCTGTGGGCCTCCATAGGGCTGTCTCTAGGCCAGGGCCTATTGCTCAGCAGCGTTTGCTGAGTGCCGGCTGAGGAGCAGGCACTGCCCATGGTCCGCCTCCTCTGTGGGACGCTGAGCCATGAGGTGAAGTGATTGTTGGTGTTTGGTGCAGAGTAGCGGGAGTCCTGTGGTACCCTTGTCCCCCGGGGCGGGGGTGGTGACCCCAGAGCCTGTGCCCAGGACTGTTGATCAGATGCCAGTGGACAGCGGCTGGGGCTGCGTGCTGGGTGCCAGGCATCCACCCGGCCCTTTCTCTAAGTGTGCAGACAGATGTGGTGACAGATGAGTAGACACTATTGACAGTCTTGGTGCATAAGGCAGATCACGGCAGGTGGGGGAGTGGTAATGCCACAGCCATGAAGGGTGGCCGATGTGGACAGGCTCTGGCTGGGTGTCCTCACCTCTGATGCCCCAGGGCCCATGTGCATTCCTCAGAGCAGGCCGCATGGAGTGGCTGGTGGATTCAGGCATTGGTGGGAACAGCCCAACAGGGTGGGTGGGGTGTCCTGTGCTCCCTCCCGGAGGACTTGCACTTTACAGATGTGGGCTGGGGACTGCAGGGGTTTTGCGAATTTGTCCTTCAGTGAAGCGAGCATCCATCTTCCTTTCCTCCTGCCCTCCCCTTGTGCACCCCCGCTGCCAGTGCCCCAGAGGTCAGTGGATGTCGTCAGCTTTCACCAGGGGAGGTGGTCAGTACCCCATGGTTGGCCCATGACCAGACACCTGGCCTGAGCCTACTTCCTTCCACAAGGAGCCCCAGGCCCACTGTGCCTTGAGTGTCCACTGCATGTGGCCCGCTCGGCCCCACTGCACGGATCGACACATTAATATGGAGGCTGCAGTGGCCATGGGAGGAGTTGGGACTGGCGTAGGTACTTGCTGCCCTGGACCTCTCCTCCGCACCATAGGCAGCTACTGCAGGGAGACTTCCATGCCCAGGCAGGGATCCTTTTGCTTGTCGTCCTCTCTACGTCTGACCCGGTCTGAGAGACCAGTAGTCCCGCAGGACTCAGTGCTCAGCGGCCATGTCAAAGCGGCTGGTTGCCGAGAGCCCCAGCTCTGAGTGGACACATGCATGGGCAGGCGGCTCCTGCAGGTGGGCTTGGGCCCCTCCGTGCCTGAACAGCTCTCCTGGCTCCTGGGGCCACAGGGTCAGAGCCTGCCGCCCTAGACACTGCTCTCAAGGCCAGGTGGTGGCCAGGGCAACCGAGTGGGTTATGCCCAAGGACCAGGTGTGGAGGGCTGAGGCCAGAGGGTGGAGGGAGTCGTCAGTCAGCGGAACCCCAGTGGCAGGTGCCAGAAGGAAGTCAGGGTCAAGAAGAGGGGAGCCTCATCGCTATCATGGCTGGTCCCTGACCAAGCATGGCAGGAGTGGGTGTCCAATCCACAGGTCTTCATGCTTTCTAGCTTTGTGCCTATAAACACAATTTCTAAAGTCATTAGCCAGATATCTTGAGAAATGAGCCAGGGGCTGTGGGGAGGAACACAAGCAGAATGTGAAGCCCTCTGGGGCCAGGGTGGGCACAGCCAGAGGGACTCCCTGGCAGCCCCACCCGGCTCTTTCTTTGCAATGGTTCATCCTGGAGGTTCAGGACGCCCCTGTGTGGCGTTCCCTGCACCTGCGGCAAGGTGGCTCACAGGCCAGGAAGAGGCCTTCCTAGTTTGCAGAGCAGGCAATTTCAAGGAAGATTTACTATGGTATTTAGGAGTGGGAACATTTTCAGCTCTGAGCATTTTGAACTATTTTTAAATGCACAGTCAGCACATAAAAGTAGGCAGATGTGATCTTTGGTGCTTTGTTTGGAAGCCTCTGTTACCCTGGGGTATTCCACTGTGTCTGGAGGTGTCCAGAGATGGGCTGTGGGGGTGGGGATTGGTGTCTGTGGGCGCAGTGCAGTTATTAACGTACATAGCGTGCAAGTACCTGTGCCATGGGGGCATGTGGTGAGGCAGGGGGGTTCTTTTAGATGCTGCCCCTCGCAGCCTGCTCCCAGGCCAGGGGTCTCTGTGGTGAGCCAGGAGTCAGGAGCCAGGGGTCTCAAAGATCCTACATGGGAGGCTGGGGCCCTGACCAGCTCCTGTCCTGGTTGCAGCGAGCCATTGTCCCTGTCCTAGACTGTGGAGATTGCCAGACAGTGAGCGATTTGGACTTCCCATAGCTCCCATCTGACTCTCTCTCTCTCCTCCTTTCCACAGCACAGAGAAGGGGGATGTCATTTGCTACTATGGAAACCGGGGGGAGCCTGAGCCAGTCGTCCTGGCACCAGGTTAGTCTACTCTGGTGGGTGGTGACAAGGTGGGGGCTGCTTCTGTGGGGACACTTCTGTACTTTTCAGAGACTGGGTCCCTGTCACATTTCTCTCCTGGGATTATGCTCCTTGGCTATTTGTGTGGCTTATGCCCCCATAGTGGCCCATGGCCTAAACTTGGTCCACATGTTAGGTTGCCCACAGCCAGGGCCACCTTCCCCTAGCTCTGAGCCCGTGACCGCCCAGAGAGAATTGAAAAAGGACAATCTGCAAAAGGACACAGAGGCCCCTCCTACCCCCACTTCTATGCATTGGTCCAGAGGCCTTTGTGGAAGCATCTGGAAACTACCCCTGTGATGCTCTCTCTCATTTCTCAGTACTTGAGATCCTGTGACTGAAGATGCTTGTTTTTTGCTAAAGGGAGGAAGGAAGGGACAGAGAGAGAGAGAGGGAAGGTCGAAGGGAGGGAGCGAGGTCATTTCAAATATATTGTGTTGTTTCCCTGAGCTTGACCCTGCCTGACTGTGTCACTTTTTAAAAATAACAGTTTTATTGAGATGTAGTTCACATGTCATACAATGTACTCACTTAAACTGTACCATTCGGTAGATTTTAGTCTATCCGCAAAGGTGGGCAACTATCACTGCTATGGAACCCCGTGACATTTTCATCACCCCGAAAAGAAACCCCTGTCTCCATTAGCGGTCACCGCCCCCCCTTGACCCCTCGGCCCCAGACAACTACTAACCTACTTTCTGTCTCTGTGGATTTGCCTATTCTGTACATTTTGTACAAGTGTAATCATCCAATATGTGGCCTTTGGGACTGGCTTCTTTCTTAGCATCATGTTTCCAAGGTCCATCCACGTTGTAGCATGAATTAGGGCTTCACTCCTTTTTACGGCTGAAAAATAGTCCATTGTCCAGATATTCTACGTTTTGTTTTTCCATTCAGTTGGTTGATGGATGCTTGGGTTGTTTTCAGCTTCCAGCTATTGTGGATCATGCTGCTGTGAACATATGTTATAAGTTTTTGTGGGGACCTGTGTTTTCCTCTCTTTTATGTGTATACCTAGGAGTGGAAGTGCTGGATGGTAAGATAACTGTTTAACCCCTTTGGGGAACTGCCAAACTTTCCCAAAGCAGCTGCACCATTTACATTCCTACCAGCAGCATCTGAGGTTCCAATTTCTGTTGCTCGTGCTTTTGGTGTCATGTTTAAGAAATCATTGCCTAATCTAAGGTTGGTAGCTTTTCTCCTATGCGTTCTTCTTCTTTTTTTTTTTTTTAATTTATTTATCTATTTGATGGAGACAGAGACAGCGAGAGAGGGAACACAAGCAGGGGGAGTGGGAGAGGGAGAAGCAGGCTTCCCGCCGAGCAGGGAGCCCGATGTAGGACTCGATCCCAGGACTCTGGGATCATGACCTGAGCCGAAGGCAGATGCTCAACGACTGAGCCACCCAGGCGCCTTTTTTTTTTTCCCCTATGCGTTCTTCTAAGGCTTATAGTTTTAGCCTTTATGTTTAGAGCTATGGGACATTTTGAATTGATTCTTTTGTATGGTGTGAGGTAGGGATTCCACTTCCTTATTTGCATGTGGCTACCCAGGTGCCCAGCACCACTATGGAGTAGTCTTCCCTGCTTCTCTTGATGGGTAAAGCACAGTGATACCCCAGCCTGGTGACCCAGCAGAGCCAAGGCTGTCTTCCTTGGAAGTGGCTGCAATCACCTCAGACTCAGTCAAGATCCTCACCCTGTGAGGAGCTGCAGCAGGGGGTGCTGGCTTCCTGTCTTCGGTGCGTCTTTCAAGGTGCATGACTCCAAGGTCACCTGCCACTGCTTCCTGAGGCTTCCTGAGAGTGGGCCCCCTCCACTTCAAGGCCAGGCCTCTCCTTTTTTTGACATGAGAAACCCTTTTCTTTTTTGTCACCCATTCTTTTAACTCACTGACAACTTGTTCTGAGAAGGTTGTGCTGAGACCCTATCATTCCCCAGGCCACGGTCCTGGCCAGTATAGAGTGGAAGTGGGCCCTGCCTACTCTCACTGAGTTGAGGCCATTCTGATGTTGGCAGACTCCCTAACCACTGACTGATACCCAGCAGGTACTCCTCTGGCCTCAGGTTGCTCTTCTCCCACCCTTGACCTTCTCAGGCAGATCCACCCCTTGCAGCTTCTTCCTAGCTTAGAGACAGGACTGAGATGGGGAGGTGGTTCCTTCTTGAGGTTTGCGGGTGGGCATTTACTCTGAATTTCCACAGTGGGGCCTCTGCACTGGCTGGGCTGTCCCCTTCCCTGCAGGGACCTATGGACTAAGCAATGCGCTGCTGGAGACGCCCTGGAGGAAGCTGTGCTTTGGGAAGCAGCTCTTCCTGGAGGCCGTGGAGCGGAGCCAGGCGCTCCCCAAGGATGTCCTCATTGCCCAGCTCCTGCATGTGCTCAACAATGATGAGGCGTGAGTGGGTGGATCCTGCCATGGCGAGCAGTGTGTCCCCCTTCTTCTCTAGCCCTGGGATGTAGAGGCAGGCAGGCTGTGCTGCCCTAGGAGGCTTGTGGAAGTGACTGGGGCCAGCTCCTCAGCCAGGGGGAGCCTGATGGACATACTGTCCTTTGCTCTTCTCCTAACTGCTCCCCTCCTGGGCCAGGCCACTTTGAAGCTCAATGCTCTCAGAGGCTTGATGTGGGCCTGTGTGGGGCAGAGAGTAGCTGGAGGTTCCCCGTGTCTGCACAAAACTAGTGGGAGATTCTAGAAAGCTCCAGGTGCTTAGCAAACCACAGAAGCAAGCAGCCAGCCTGGGACTATATCTAGGGGTTAACTGGCCTTCCCACATTCTGTCCTACCAGTGCTATGGCACAGACACACCTGTCCCAGGAATCTCCTTGGGGAAAGGAGCTCCTGACCCAACTTCCCTAAGGCACCTCAGTGGCCTCTGCACACAGTACCTGCCTCAGGGATGCCACCCCCTGGCGTGTCCTGGCCATCCCACCTGGGGGTCAGAGGTGCTGGCCAAACTACCTTCTTCCCAAACTACCTACTCAGGCCAGGCCACTATCCTGCCCAGATGCCCTGGCAGCCCCTCAGAGGAGCCCCCACGGGCTGCCTTCCACTCCTGTCTCCTACAGCCCCTCCCTGCCCCTCGCTTACTCTCCATCTCCTGTTGGAACCATGAACCAGGGCACTTTCAGCTTCAGCATAGCCACCCCTCAGGGAAGCCCTGCTAGGGCTGGTCCAGCATCCCCTGCTCAGCTGTGAGTCATGTGGCCCTCAGTCACTGGCTGTCATCCCCTCTGGCCTGAAATGGGGTCCTGGCTGCTTTGACAGCTGTGGGCCTAGCACCAGCTTCAGTGGCTGGCAAGCTGCAGGGCTCAAGTGGGCTCCTGTCACGTGGAGAGATGCCCATAGAGTACCTCTTGGGGTAGGCAGGGCGTGTATGTGGCCAGTGACCCCTCAGCCAGGCCCCTGCCCCACAGCACCCCTAACCACTGAGACATGACCAAGACAGGAAGGTAAGTTTGCTCTGAGAGATGACTTCTGTCATTCCTGGGGGGGCCCTGCACAGCTCTGACCAGATTGACCCCCGGCATTTGCAGATTCAGCAGAGCCTTCCGCAGGGCTGAGCTCATGTCCCTGGGTCCTGGGAAAGCTCCTGGGGGCCCTGGCAGGGGGAGCTGGCCTGGCACTCACTGTCTGGCAGCCTGGGCCCAGTGATGGGAGTCCTAAATAAAAGACTGGACCGAGATTTGACGCCTTCAGCAGAAAAGTGCACAGAACAGCCCCTGTGGATCCCCCAAATTGCCTCATGAGGCTGGTAGGCTCCTTAGGCACTGCAGGCCTTGAGGATGGCAGGTGGGGCTATGGGTGGGTGGGTGGGGGCGGCAGTGACCCGGCCTCTGTCCTTCCAGGCAGCTGCCAGACCCGGCCATTGAGGACCAGGGCAGGGAGTACGTGCAGCCCTTCCTGAGCAAGTATGCGGCTGTGTGTGTGCGCTGTCCGGGCTACGGCACCAGGTACGAGGGGCTGCTGGGTGCATTCAGTGCTGTCCCACGAGGAACCCAGCCTTCCCTGAACTCTGTGGACCCCAGAGCCTCTGCCCTGTCTAAAAGCAGCTGCCGTTTCAGCTTGGGGGTTGGGGGGGCTGTGGGGCCAGCAGACACCACAGCTGATGGTTTTGAACGACAAGCTCGCCGGCTCCCAGGGGTACTGCAGAAATGGTTCCTGGGCTGCTTCCTGCTCCCTCCACAGCCACGAGGGGACTGGGATGGCTGTGGATGCACTCGGCTTGGCAGATCCCTGTGGGCCCAGAGGTCCCACTGCCCAGCTCTTCCTCTCGTTTTGCCCTGTGTCCTTGGGTCTGTTACATTACATTCTCTGTGTGACCAGGGCAGGAATCAGGTCATGTCGGCCTGGGGACATCGCCCAAGAAAAGGGCAACTTCTGGCCTCAGCCACAAGGAGAGAATGCCTGGGAAGGAGAAGCTCTTGGCATGGGTGTCTGCTGTCCCAGCAAGTTCCTTCTCTGCCTCTCTCCCTCCTGGGCAGAGGGAGATTGGCTCTGTGTGTCTGGGAGGCCCAGCCCATCCCCGCGGTCCTGTCCGGGGCAGCCTACCTGCTGTACTTGGAGGTGGGTGGGTTGCTGGACCAGCCAGGATGCGCTAGGAGTGCTGTTGCTCACCTGGCCCACCTGGCCTGGAGGCAGACTGTGGCCTCATGCAAAGCAACATCTGCCTGGATTCGGCTTGCACCAGGTCCCCGGGGCACCAGCCTTGTGGTCGGCTGGTGACCTGCAGTGGACTGTGATGGATAGGCCAAGCTCTTGGGGGCCCGTGGCCACTAAGGACTCAGGGATGGGGTGCTTGGGTGGTGACAGGTGCTGACTGATGCCACGGTGATACCGCATGTACTCTGGGTACATGGTGATGTCACACGTAATGCTTGGTTTTCGAGTTCAGGTTGGCCCGAGGATTCCATCCTCCAGGAGATGACAGCTTCAAGCCCTCTAGCTGGGGGATGGGATGGTAGGCAGGGCCATGGTGGTGTCACTGCCCAGCACTGATGCTCCAGGGCCCAAGGGTTGTATGCCTGAATGGTGGCCTTTCCATTCTTAGGCTTTTCCCTTGGCAGGTGGCGGGGCATCAATTCTCTCAGGCTTCTCCATCACAGACCTTTTTCTCGACTAAATTACATGCTCACGTGTCCTCATGTGCGTGAGGCAGAGTGCCAGGTCTGCTCCCTGGACAGGTGTGTGGCTGCTGGGTCCAAGCCCGACTGGGCCCCCCAGTCTTCAGCATGGGTGTGCCCACTCTGGGTGTCAGCCTGCACGGGGGCTGCCCTCTCTCAGGGGGAGACAGGTGCTAACAAAGTGAGGACTGGCCTTGGGGACGGCTGGCAGGAGGAGAGAAGGTGCACTGAGCATTTGGGATGGGTAGAAGGGGAGGAGGACAGGAGAGGGTTCCTGGTGATAGAGGCCCCATTTGGGGCTCTGCCAGGCAGGCAGGGGGCTGAGGGCAGAGGGCTGAACATGGGCCCCCTGCTCTCTTTCAGAACCAACACGGTCATCCTCGTGGATGCAGACGGGCACGTGACCTTCACAGAGCGTAGCATGCTGGACAAGGACCCCTCCTGCTGGGAGACCAGCACCCACGAGTTCAAGCTGCAGAGCTAACCCCTCTCCCTGGGTGTGGCCATTGGGCTCCTGGAAGGCCCTGCCTCGAGGACCAGTGTGGATAGGAACCTTCCGTAGGCACATGCACTGCCTGTGACTTGGCCAAGCATCCCCCAGGACCAGGGCCCTCTGGTGTTTCTGTGACCTGTCTGTGTCCGCGTGTCCAGCTCAGGGTCTGCCCTTACGCCAGTAGGAGTGACAGAGTCCCGCAGCCAGGCCTGGGGCAGGCCTAGGTGTGCTGTGCCTGTGTGAAGGCACCTCGGTCTGCCCCTGTCCAAGCACAGAGGCACACAGTCGAGGCACATGCCTCCATGCACACCTGCAGGTGCACGGGCACATGCACACCATGCACAGGCAACAGATAGGTGTACACATGCTCAAACGCACCCACAACCCCCGGCGTCCACACGTATGCATGCTAGACAGGCAGAGATGTGCTGCTCACATCCGCAAGTGCTTCTGGCCAGTGGGTCTTTGCTTTGATCAAAACAACAGGGTGTAGACTTTTGTTTAAAAGTGGCTCCCTTTCTCCTGGGCATAGTCCACTTCTGGACAGCTAGACTTGCTCTTAGAGAGGAGAGGCCCCATTTGGAATGAGAAATGAGAACAACCCCAGAAAAACCCACTGTCATAACAGAAGCACAGGCTGGTTGGTGGTCCTTTATGCTCTGGGGGGTCTCCTGTGTGCATGGGGTGGTCCTGTGGGGGGAGGGGGTGGTCCTGCATGATGCCCCAGGGGTCCTGTGTATGCTGGGGCACCTTGGTAGGCTCTCAGGCACCTACCTGCCCATTGGGGGTCATGGGTTTGGGCAGGCCCTCTCAGTGAGGGGACACAGGCAACCCTTACTATTTCCCTTCTCCTTGGGGAGTCAGACTTCATAGGAATCTGTACTTGAACGTGAGAACTTGATAATAAAACTCGGAGGCTGTGGTGAGTCAGTGCATTTCAGGTCCTTGTGTGATGGGGGACAACTGTGCAAGGGGTCAGTAGGGCTGCTCTCCTGGTCTGCAGGAGCTCCCGAGGCACACTCACCAGAACAAGCCTCTCCCCACTTTTTTCTTTTGCTCATGGGTCTCTGAGCACCCTGATGGAAACCCAAGGGTCCATCAGCCTGTCCATCTGTCTGTCCTTGGGCTGGGGTTCGAGAGAGAGCCTATATGCATGGGACACAGTAGGTGCCAGTTACAGGGCCTCCTGAGCTGGGCTGAGGAGCCAGGGACTCATCTGGGTGTAGTGAGGAGCCCTTGGGGACCTCCCCATGGAGTGGTGTGGTCAGGCCTGCACTTGGGGTGGACTGTGGAGGCCAGGGGGTGGTAGGAATGGGTTTCAGGGCAAGGGGGCAAGTAGAGTCTGTCTTAATTGCAGGACCCTGGTTTGCGGCAGGCACTCAGGAGTTCCTGTCCCTAGCCCAGGCTGAGCATCAGGGGGTCCTGTTGTGTGTCCAGTGCTGAGACCCAGACTTCCATCTGCCTTTGCAGCTGACCCCCAACTTGGCCTTCTCAGAGCCAGTGAGAGCTTGGGGTGGGGTGTGGACCTGCACCCGGCCCCACTTGCCTTCTCAGCCCTTCCCTCTTCTTACCCTGAGCACCCCTCAGGGGACTGATGCCCTCCTTGGCTCACTTTGAACCCAGAGGAAAAGTGCTTGAGCATGGTCAGGTTTGAATGGGGCCCCCAGTGGTAGCATAGCCCACACCCCTAGGCCCAGGGGCAAACACTTGTTGGCTGAGGCACACTGAGCCAGGCTCTCAGCCTAGGCACTGCCCATGCCCTTCGTCTGCCTCAGTGCCCCACGCCAGCACCCACCCTGGCCAGGCATGTCTGCCCTCATGGGGCACCACTGGGCTGGTGCAAAGCCATCTGGAGAGCTCTCCCTGATGTTTGTCTCTACCCCAGGGACAGACCCTGCACAGGGATACCCCAGCCCTCAACCTGCCCTGGGCTTCCCAAGTGCCTGAGCCCCCTGAAGAAAGGGCAGCCAAGATGTAATTCTATTGTTATGAGTTGAGTTGTGTGCTCCCCGAAAGATCTATTGGAATCCTAGCCCCTGTACCTCGGAATATAACCTTATTAGGGTCTTTACAGAAGTAATCAAGATAAAATGCAGTCATTAGGGTGGGCCCTAATCAGGTATGACTGATGTCCTTATAAAAAAGGGAAAATTTGGACATGGGGACAGACATGCATGCAGGCAGAATGCCCTATAAAGACTGGAGCTATGCTGTCCCATGCCAAGAAACTACCAGAAGCTGAGAGGGAGAGACCTGGAATAGATCCTTCCCTGGTGCCTTTAGAGGGAGCGTGGCTCTGCCAACACTTTGAGCTCAGACTTCTGGCCTCCAGAAGTTTGTGAGACAATAAATTTCTGTGGTTTAAGCCACTCATTTATGGTACTTTGTTATGGCAGCTCTAGCAAACTAAATCAATTGCGACCTTCATTTTACAGATGAGGAAATTGAAGCTTGGAGAGATACCATAACAGTGTCTCAGTCCCCAGGCAGGTAGGGAGGCAGAGCCACGGGGCCAGGAAGGAGAGGATGCATCTTGGGGTGTCTTCCCTTGTAGGCTCATGGTCTTCCCACATTGGTTTCACCTGCTGCCCTGCACGCCCCCCATCACCACATTTTTCTTGCCTCTGCCACTGCCCTTGGTCGCGCTTTCTGCACAGCTTCTGCCCCAGGGCCTTGGCACTTGCTGTCCCTTCTGGTTGAAGAACTCTCCCTCCCCCCCCCCCCATATATCCAAACCACACTGTCCCTCACATCCTGCAGCTCTTTGGTAAAGTCTTGGGGAGGCATCCCATCTGAAGCTGCAATCTGCCCTGCCTTGGTCCCTGCTCTATTTTCTATAGCAGTTAGCACTAGGACATGCTATGTGTTTTGCTTGATTGTTTCTTGTGTGTCTCCCTGTCAGAACAAGAGCTTCAGGAGGCAAGGCCATTACTCTCTTGTCCATCACTGTATCCTGATGCCCACGCCAGGTAGACATTTGAACCAAAAATGACATTGCTGGCACTTCTCAAGCCCCCATTTATTTCGGTCTTGAAGTGAGACCCTTGTGTGGTTAGAAGGGACCCTAGCAAGCTGTGCTTTCCAGAAGTTCTTTTGACATGCCACACAGGAAGCCTGGACCTGACCTTGGCATGGCTTAGCTAGTCATCAGATGCACTGGATCCCTGAGTTCCCAACATGGGTCCTCTTTTCCCAGATGGAGGGGGAATTCACCTCCTTTTCAGATGCCCCTGATGAGCTGCTTCTGCTTTCTGGCTCTAAGACAGCCAGTTGAAGTGTGTTGGCATGCAGGCTGGAGGTGTGGAGCTGACATATGGAAGCTAAGTCTGAGTAAACAAGACCAGCCCAGGAATGCAGCCTGGCCTTGAGGCTTGTCATGGCAGGCCTGAGATCCTTGCCTTCTGCCTGCAGAGACACCCCCGCCACTGCCCCACCACTAACACCTGATCTTTTGGTCTCATCTGCCAGCAGATAGCATCATCCAGGCCCTTTAGTAGAGACCTGGCTCATGGGTGAGCTGGGCTCAGGTGGAAACATAGGAGCCCAGAAGGAAAAGTTTCCTCAGTTTGGGCTAGAGCTCCGGCTTCTAGGCAGCCACCTGAGGCTGGAGTCGGATGGGGGCTGTGGGGACGTCGTGTGGGAAGGCCATGTGGAAAGCCAGCTGTAGTGTGTTGGTCTGAGGTCTCGAGTCTGAGGCAACTCACCAAGCAATAAAGTGTGGAGAGTTCGCTAAGGCTGGATGGTGGTGTGCCCAGGGTTCCCATGAGCTCTGACCACTGGGCCAAGGAGAGCAGCTGGCCCAGCCACAGGGAGGCTGGCCTCCCCTGGCTAAGTCCAGGAGCTAGAACTTCATGGGTCTTGGTCACATTTTTATTGTGACCAAGTGAAGTGTCTTTGTGCTGTGAAGTGTCTGGTGCTGACCACTGGGACAGCCAGGTAAACAGAAAGGGGCAGGAAAGGAGGGAAGGGCCTGGATAGGCCTCCAGCTTCCTCACCTGCAACACTCTTTTTCCCCACCTTTTTTAATCTTTTCATTTTGAAATGATTTCAACTTACCAAAAACTTGAAACGATAGAACAAAACATTCCAGTGTCTTTCACCCAGTTCCCCCAAATGTTAACACCCTACCTCTAGCCATACTAAAATGATTACAACCAGGAAATTAGCACTGATACGTTATTACCAGCTAATTTACAAACCTAATTTGAATGACCAGTTGTCCCACTTCTGTCCCTTTCCTGAGCCAGGTTTCGACACAGGATCCAGATCCCACATCACATAGTTGTGTTTCCTGTAATTGAAGACAGCTCCTCAATGTCTTTGACTTGAATGATCTTGACACTTGAAAAGCACCTGCCAGTTTTTTGGTAGAATGTTCCTCATTTGGGTTTGTCTGAACTTTCTTCATTCAGGGTTTGCCTTTTGGGTAGTGATGCATGTCCTTCTCAGGAGGCCTACAATATGTCCCTTTACTGGTGCTGACTTTTGTCTTCATTTTTATTGAGGTATCATTAATATACTATACAACGAATATCTTTAAAGTATAAATTTGGTAAGTTTGGATGTGTATACGTTTGTTGGTGACCTCGATCACTTGGTTACCTGGTTCTCTCTCAGGTTTTTCTCCACGGCGGTTACTATTTTAGGTTTGCGGTTAGTGTCTCGGGGAGAAACTTTGCATCTCTGTAAAGCAACAAAAAAATCGCCAATTCTACTTTTGCTATTTTTAGCATCCGTGATTTTTGTCTGCAGCAGGTTTGTGCAGGCTGCCAAAAGGGAGATTTCCTACTTCCATCATTCCTTCTACATTTATTAACTGGAATTCTGGTCTAAGGAAGAGCTGTCCCTTCTCCATTTACTTATACCCTCCCTTTTCTGAGGTTCCTGAAATGGCATTAGCAAGTGGAAAAATGCCGGAAGTTCAGCATATTTGTCCTGTTTCCCTGATTATGCTTAATGCTTTTAATTGGAAACGTTTAATGATTGTGCGTATGCGGTCTCGCCTGCACTACGTAGACCACGGAGGCGCCCTCTGCTCCCGGCGTCCCCTGCGCCGCCCGGCTCCCGGCGCTTCCCGCGTTCTCCCGCTCCCGGCATCCCCTGCGTTCCTCCTTACCCGGCATTCCCTGCGCTTCCCGCGCTCTCCTATTCCCGGCATCCCCTGCGCTGCCCGTTCCCGGCGCTCCGCGCGGCCGCCGCCCTCCGCGCGGCGAGCCCCGCCCCGGCGGCGACCGTTAGCGCGGCCGCGGCCTGAGTGCCTGGTCCCGCCCACGCGGCCGCGCTATTGGGCCGCGTGCCGTGGCCGCGAGCGCCACGCGCTGCCGATTGGCGGCCTCCGCAGCCCGCTCCGCGGTTCCCCCAATGCGGGGCGCCCGCGCGCAGGGATTGGCCGCGAGCCGCCAAGGCCCGCCCTCCGCTCGCCCCGCGCGGCAGGCGGGTCCGCCGACCGGAGAGAGCTTGGGAGGCCTTTCTAGATGGCGGCTAGGCCGTGAGGGTCTCCCTGCCTTGGTCGGGCTGCGGGCAGCTCGGGCAGGCCGCGGGCGCCGGAGGTAGGTGCGGGGCGCGAGGGGCGCCCCGCGGGCCGGGCGGGCGGGCGCTGCGGCCTGCGCGAGGGCGCGCCCTTCCCCTCCCTGCTTCCCGGGCCAAGGGCTGAGGGCCCGCCGGCGGGGTGGGGCGGGGCGGGAGGGCGCGAGGCGGGGCAGCCACGCGGAGTCCCGGCTTTTGTGAAGCATCATGGCCGCGGGCCTCGGAGAACGCGGGGCGGGGGGTCCCGCCGTGGCGGGGGTGGGGTGGGGGCGGGCCCCAGGCCCAGGTGGCGCCAACGCCGGTCGCTCTCCGCCCGGGTAAACAGCCCGAGTGTAAAGAGACCCCTCGCCCTGTGGGCCCGAAGCCGTAGCGTCGCTTTCAGGCGGGAAAGGTATGAACACGGGTAGTGCTCGTCCAGGATCCTGTCGGGTGTAACAGTTTGGGAAATCTGAGAAGTCGCCTGAGTCTTTTTCTCCGCCAAATGCTTATGGATTGTCACTTAGATAAGCGGAGCGTGGTTTTGTTTAACGATGGTCGTGGTAGAAATAAATGGAAGGTGGCAACCTGTTGATAGTGGTACCTGGCAAGTATCATTCGATGGACTTGGGTTGCTCATGGTAGGAATTTGATTTGCTGTTCTGCATGCTTGCATGTACCTTGTTACCTGATGCACGGCAGTCCAGGCTAGGGCTGGTGATTGTGTGAGGCCAACCGGCAGGCGGAGACCCTCTGTTTCCTGATCTGAGCCTGGACTCCCAGTCAGGCGCCTCGCGCACAGTGGCTCAAACCCTGCGGCAGGCTGTCACTCACCAGAGGGAGTGAATGGCTAGTCAGGAGTGCGCCTGTGAGTACAGGATGTGAGGCCTGTTGGAGGATGACAAAAGGAATGGATGAGGTCATACTGCTGCTGGGTTGGGCGGGAGGCTGCAGTGTGAGAGGCTTGACCGAAAGGCACCAGCCCCAGCACTGGACATAACAGCCAGCGCCTCGGTGCCAGCTCAGCAAGTGGACTTCAGTGAAGGGCGCTGTCCAAGCCTGTTGGTTTTACCCCATGTACCAGGGATCCAGGGGAGCCTCCTGCTGGCTTGCAGTCCACTTGGCAAGCAAGGTTTGCATCCGTGTGTTCAATCAGCTGCAGTGGCAGTGAGGCTGATGGTGGGAGAGTCACTCCTTGAGCCCTTTATGGCCAGGCACTCTGTAGGGCACTTCCTGGGGATTGTTTTGTAACCTGACCGTGACCTTGGTAGTAGAAAACATGAATCTCACTGGATTGCCTGGTCTTGGTCCCTCTTAGTAGCCGCCCTTTCCCCTTTGGTGGTCTCATCCAGCCTCCTGGCTTTAATGCCCTCTTTCCTTGACAGCTCCCATCGCCTTCTCCAGCCCTGGCCTCCCTTCTGAGCTGCTGTCTCTTCCAAATCTTTATGTGTTACTTTGATGCCAAGTAGTCATGGCCAAACCTAAATCCTTATCTTCACCCACCCCACAACACTTCTCATGCTGCCTTCACCACCTCAATGCGTGGCAGCTCCATTTATGAGTTTAGAGTCACCTGGATTCCTCTCTTAGGCCTCCATGCAACACTCAGGACCATTTCTTACCACCTCCAGCTTAACATGCTATTCTGAACTGCCTGGTGAGCCTCTTAATTCTTCTCTTTGCTCTCACCCTTGCTCCTCCCCCTACTCACCCATGATAGTTTTTCTGGACACAGAATGATTCTTTTAAACTGTAAGATAGTGTAAAACCGAGGAAGTGAGGAGGGGAGCCAGCTTGCCTGGGTGGTAAAGCAGCTTCACTGCTTTCTAGCCATGTGACCTTGAGCAAGTTGCTTAACCTTTCTGTCCTTAACCTCTCTCTCAGCGCTGTGTGAGAACTGGTGAGTGAAAATGCATAACACTCTTAGAGCAGGGCCTCGCTGAGGGTTGGTTGCCACTGCTGTCCTTGGATCATGCCACCTCAGTGCTTGGACCCTCCTGTCCAGTGGCCCATCTCTTAAGATAAGAGCCACAGTCCTGGTCTCAGTTCCACTTAGCACGCTGCTTTCACCTGCTTCACTGCACTTCTACCCCAGGGTCTTTGCTCTTCTGTCACCTGGAATGTCCCCTGCTCCCACCCACCCAGCTCACTCTCTTCTGCCTTCAGATGGACTCTGACTGTGCAGTCTTTGCTGTCTGCCCTTTCTGAAGCTACCTCCTCGCTCTGTTTTCTCTTGAATACTAACCAGCTTTTCTTAGTTATTTCTCTATCTCTCCTGCTAAAAAGTGAGCTTTGTGGGTACAGATTTTGTCTGTTTTGTGTCCTTAGCATCTAGAATGGTACGTGGGCCATGTGGAAAGCGTTCAGCAAACACTTGTTGAATGAGTAGAGCAAGCTTACAGGGGAAAGTAAGGAACTTGCCCAGGACTGCCCTACTACGGAGTTCTGAGCCTTGAGCTGCTGCCCCCTGGGGCTGGGTAGGCTTTCCTGATCTCCCAGGGAGAAAGAACACTCTTTTTTCTCTACAGCTCCCTGACCCCACCCTCTGTACCTCTTTCAGGCCTCCCTGCATTGTTGTCATTATCATCTTTGCTTTGTGCTTTGGTGATGGCAGCTGCTTGGTCTTCTAACACGGTAGCAGGTGTCCCCATCCTGTACCACCCTTTGTTTTCAGCCCCACCCCCCTTCAGCCCCCAGAATCACTAGATTGGCTCTTGCTAGTGTCTCCACAGACCTACCAGAAGTGGAGGGGTTTGGTCCTGATTTTTATCTGTGTTCTGTAGCACTGGACATGCTGACCTGTCTGTCCTTCTCTGAAATGATCTTTGTTGGTTGCCAGGAGACTGGCCTTATTTCACTCGGTTCTCCTCATGCCTGTTCAGCTGCAGCCTCCTTAGCGTTTACCTCAGTTCTGAGTCTTGTTATCTGTATGCTGTATTCCCTTGATCTTTAGCACCTTTGACAGATACACCTTTGGGGGAAGTACTGTGATAAAATTCCCATTGAATTCAGAAATGTAAGGACATCTTAGAATCTAGGAAATAGAGTGACAGCTCAGTGGTCATTGCCCTTCCAGTTGTGTCCAGGTGGTGGGGACTCTTGCTCATGGTAGTACATCCCTTAGAGTAGAAGGCCAGTGAATATTGGTTGAATGAATTAATTAAATCTGAGTAAGTCTTTGGTTTTTATGTTGTGTCTCCTTGAAAGTACAACCACCACGCTCTACTCCTTCACTGTAAACTTCTTAAATGTGTGATGTCTGCTGTCTTCTGCTCTATCCATGCAGCCAGTCAAGCCTGCCCTATGTGGGCATGGGCATGCATGTGTGTATCTGCACCTGTGTGCATGGCATGTTCATGCGCGCGCGTGTGTGTGTATGTCTGCATGGTGTGGGAGTGTGTGCGTATACATGTTTGCGTCTGCACGTGCTTCTCCTGCTTTGATGCCCGGCTCTCCTGCAGACCTCTGGGTTTTTGGATTGTCCCTCTGACCTGCTTTTTCACATCATCCCTTTTGTTGTCTTTTCTCTGAAGGGAAGCTTCCCAGAGTTGCATCCTCAACCCTCTTCTTGGTCTGTGTTGCCTCTCTGGGCCGCCTCTCTCCTGTGGTTTTGGCGACTATCACCTCGCTGATGTGTTCTAGCCTTCTGTTTCTGGGCCAGTCACAGCTCCAGAGCTGTGGCCTCAGCACCTGTTGGACAGGTCTGCCTGGAGGCTCCATCCATTCTCCTCGGGAGGCTCTTGCCTGAATGCTGGAACACGTGTGTCCCCCCAGGGGAGAAGCCTCATTTGCCTTCAGTGCCCTCTTGTCTTTGCTCTCCACCTCTACCCGGTCAGCAGTGTGGTCAGTTCTGTGTCTTCACTGTTCTTGAGGGCTCCGGCCCCGTCACCAGAGCCTCATTCACACCTTTGTGCTTTGGCCTGGAGGACTGCCCTCTGTGCCTTGGACATAGGCACTGGGCCTGGCACAGCTGTCAGTTTCCTTTTTCAAATAGGGGCTGAATTGTGGCATGGGAATCGCTTCACCCTTGGTGGCTCCTTATTGCCCCCAGGAGGGAGCCAGGCTCCAGATGGCACCCAGGACTTCCTGTGCCTTGGCTCCAACTGTCTCCTGAGGCTCCCCCGACCAACCCTGGCCAGGTTCCCTTCCCCACAGCCACCATCCCCTCCTCTACTGGGAACAGAACCACGCCACCTCTGGCGACCTCAGCACGCTGCATCACTCTCCCGGTCCACCTGCCACCTTGTGGGCCCAGGAGAGCCCTGGGGTCCCTGGGTAGCAGAGCGCCTGGCTGTACCTCTGAGGCCCTAGTGCCGCAGAGTTGAGCTGAGGGTCTCGCACTCGCCCTCGCCCTCTGACTGACCCAGCCCTAGCAGGTGAGTGGATCCATGTCGCTCTGATGGCCAGAGGGAGGCCACACACCTTATGTGTGTTCTGGAAAGGGCAGCCTTGCACCGCGAGCTTGCTTACCTAATAAACTGAGTTAGGGGAATGCTGCGGTGAAGCTTAGCCTAGTTTTTAAAAATCTTTTTTGAGCCTTAAGATAATACTTTTTGTGCTTCTGAAGTAGGAATTACAGTGGACAATTAGTAAGATATTTAACTTAGGACTTAAAATTATAATTTAGGTTCTGAAGGACGAATGTAGAGCTAGTTTGTTTTGAAGCCTAGCAGGTTCTCTAAGGCAGTAGTATTTCAAGTTCTTTACTACACTGTTAATAGGACTTGACTCTCAGTACCAGGGAAGCAGAAGGTTTCTGTCATTTTGTGACGATGTTTTTAAATCTCTTTGCAGGTGGAAGAAGAAAGGTGCCACTTTGGCATGAAGACAGACTCGCTTAGTCGTCAGTCATTTAAGCTGAGTGCATTGTGATTTCCAATAATTGAGGCAGTGGTTCTAAAAGCTGTCTACATTAATGAAAAGAGCAATGTGGCCAGCTTGACTAAGCCGCCGGCGTGTGCAGCGCAGGCAGGACGGCACCCGGGTCTCAGCGGACTTGTGCATGTTAGCTGTATAGATTTATGTAAGGTTTTTTAAAACTCTGGTCTTTTAAAATAGTCTTAACCACTTTTACTATGGAGACATATGAGAGTCCCTCTCCTCTCCCGCGTGAGCCCGCAGGAGAAGCGGTGATGGAGAACCCAGCTTGCCCCTTTCAAGCGCTGCCCCGTGAACAGTCTCCACCACCTCCCCTGCAAACGTCCAGTGATGCAGAGGTAATGGACGTTGGCTCTGGTGGTGATGGACAGGCCGAACCCCCTGCTGAGGACCCGCTCAACTTCTACGGAGCTTCTCTTCTCTCCAAAGGATCCTTCTCTAAGGCCCGCCTCCTCATAGACCCGAACTGTAGTGGCCACAGCCCGCGCACCGCCCGGCACGCACCTGCGGTCCGGAAGTTCTCCCCTGACCTTAAGTTGCTTAAGGATGTAAAGATTAGCGTGAGCTTTACCGAGAGCTGCAGGAGTAAGGACAGGAAGGTGCTGTACACAGGAGTGGAGCGCGACGCTCGTGCAGAGTGCGGTCTGGCCCTTAGCCCTGTCAGTGGAGACGTGCATGCTTGTCCCTTTGGCGGGAGTGTTGGGAATGGGGTAGGTGTAGGGGGTGAGAGTGCTGATAAGAAGGATGAGGAGAATGAGCTGGATCAGGAAAAGAGAGTGGAGTACGCAGTGCTCGATGAGTTAGAAGATTTTACTGACAATTTGGAGCTAGATGAAGAAGGAACAGGCGGGTTCACGGCTAAAGCAATCGTGCAGAGAGACAGAGTGGATGAAGAGGCCTTGAACTTCTCCTATGAGGTATGTCGGCGACCCCTCCTTTGGAGCACTCTTAGCAAACCCAGAGAGAGGTGTTGGGAACTGCAGCATCTTTTGAAAGCTGATGTTGCAGAGGAAAAAAAAAAAACTCATATGAGGTGGAATAATGTTAATGTGGAAAAGAAAAAGCTGTATGAAGTCCGGGTTTTTAAATTTTCCTAAAGAAAGGTTTGGCTGAGCAGTCGACCTTGTACCCTTTATGCAACCCGAGTTGGAAGGTGCTGCTGAGAAGCGCTTCCTGGTGGCGTGTGCACCTGTGCCAGGTGTCAAGTGTGTTGGTTGCAGTTGTCAGTTTCTTCCTGTTTGTTTTTCAGATGATCACGCAACATAAAGGCATACCTAGGCCCCACTTGAGAGTGCCTCATTTCTGTGTCTGTTCTCACTAATGCTGTTAAGCTTGCCTATGGTACAGGAATGCAGGCTCCGGGGGCCCTGGTGTCTGAACAGCGTGTTTTGCAGGATGATTTTGACAACGATGTTGATGCTCTGCTGGAAGAGGGCCTTTGTGCTCCCAAAAAGAGACGAATGGAGGAGAAATACGGAGGAGACAGTGACCATCCATCTGACGGAGAGACAAGCGTGCAGCCAATGATGACCAAGATTAAAACTGTGCTAAAAAGTAAGTCAGCCAGTCAGAAAGTAGTGTGTTTGTGGGGCGGCAGAAGTGCCGTTTTGAGAGCCCTTGGGTGCCAGGCAGTGGTCTTACCAAGTGCACACATGTTTGAGGGAGGACAGTCACGTGTGGTGAAGGGGAGACAGACAAGACACAAGGAAGCACCAGATGCACAATGACCCGGGTGCAGATTGTGGTGTCATGCGTGGCTACACACTGGAGTGGTTGGTGTTGTGCAGGGGAATGGGGAGGCACTTCTGGCAGGGTGGGGGTGAGGGGATGATGTTGTTGCTGGGAGATGACAAGATCGGCAACTAGAGGATGTGAGGCCAAGGCCAGAGGTGGGTGCAGCACTGTGGCAGGTGATGGTTGTAGTCTGGCTTCTGGATTCTCCGCCAAGTGTCAGGGGAAGCCGCTAGAAGCAGGCAGGTGTCGTTACACAATTTTTGTCTAAAGGCACAGCTCCCATGGCTGCAGCATGGTGTGTGGACTTTAGGTGGCTAGGGTGTGAGCTCCTGTGGTAGGGGTGAAGGTGTTCCAAAGCTGCACTGGGATTTGGTGGTGGGGGGGAGCAGTTGGCCTGGAGTTGCCTGTGGGGCTGGGCATTGGGCAGTGGGAAGGGGCTGAACGGATGCGTGGGGACTCGGGCACACAGTTGAGACCTTAGACTGAGGGCTGGAGTGCAGAAGGTGGCTTGGCGTGATGGGAGGAAATCGAGGGGCAGGTGGTGTGCAGTCTCCCACTGCAGAGTGGATGGGTTGGCTGTGCTGGGTGCCACAAAGCCCTGTCCATTCTGAGCAGCTGGTTCAGGTTCACAGTGTGTCTGTCCATGACTTCAGGCATGCCACTGGGTCTGCCTGCCCCGGGCACTGCTGTGCCTTTCCCTCTGCAGCCTTCTGCTCCACCTTACCCGCCTGGCAGCCTGCCCCACAGTGCTGCCTCCCAGGAGCTGTGGCATGGGCCTCAGGCTCACAGGCTGCGTGTAAGCTGCATGTGAGCTCTTCAGACGGCTGGGCCAACTTTATGACTGCTACTTGTCACAAATGAGTAGCCTAGGTGCACCAGTGACCCATGTTGTACTTTGCTAGCATTTTGTTTGCTTCTCCTTGTCCTGACTTAGCCCAAAGCTGGTGTGAGGCAGCTCCTTGGCTCAAGCCCGGGTAGGGGACAGTGCGTGTGACAGTGTCTGTGCACCTCTGACTTGTCGTGCTCCCTCCTGGGGGCCATCCCGACATCAACCATCCAGCCAGGATTGTTATGTTCTGATGTCAGGCCAGGGGTTAACACTGCCGGGTGGGGACCTGGCACTGGGATGCTACTCCCTTGTCTGTGAGAGTCCCTCATGCCATTTCATTATGTCTATGTTTTTAAAATTTCATTTGTTTTTTTCTTTTGTCCCTAAATTTCTCACTTGCTCCCAGTTCCTGTAAGAGAATTACATTTCAGTTAAATCTTTGTGCTTTTCCTAGTCACCGGTCCTGTCAGTGGCAGGTGTCAAGTGGGTAACAAGTCTTGAGCTTTTTTCTTTGACTGCCTGTAAAGCAAAGAAGGGATTGGGAGTGGTGTTCTAAAACTGACTTAGAAACGTATGAATTGGAAGTAGTGTTTCACGTGCTGGTGAGAGTGTGCAGCTCAGGTACAATGAACACTTGCTGTCGAGTCACAGGGAGCAGTGGTCGGCAGACATGCAATTTGTTAGCAAAGTTTACTCAGCCCCTGGGGTGCCTCTGGCCACAGCCAAGGCAGGCAGTGAGGGATTGATGGCCGTGGTGCCCACAGCTGTGCAGGCAGCAGCTGAGGCTAGGACTCGTGTCTTGTAGAACCTCATCCCAGGCTCCTTTGTGCACCATGTGCTGTTCTAGGCCCAAGAGTACAGCAGTAAACAAGGTGGACAGCTTCCTGCTATTGAGGAGGGACTTAGATTCTCTGGGTTGGAGTCATATAAACAAGCACAACAATTAAGAACAGAGTTTCGTGCATTGGAGGTGCTGTGAGTGGCAGGCAGGGCTGGGTAGGCTCTGTCTGGTGGAGGGTGGGGTACTCCTCTACTGCCCTAGTTCTTAGAGGTTCTTTCCAATCAATCCTTGGTTGACTTTACTATTTTTATCTGCCATGTGTCATAATTTTGAAGCTATCTCTACAACTCAAAAGTGTTTCTGAAGTGATTGTAGGATGCTCTTGTCTTCTGTGCAGGTCGTGGCCGTCCTCCTACAGAACCGTTGCCCGACGGGTGGATCATGACATTCCATAACTCCGGAGTCCCGGTGTACCTACACCGAGAGTCTCGGGTGGTCACCTGGTCCAGGCCGTACTTCCTGGGAACGGGAAGCATACGGGTAAGCGATGCATCAGTCATGAATTTAGTTTTGTAAGTTTGCAGACTGAACATACACACGCTGTGTTTGCATGCTAGCCAGGCAGAGGCAAGTGGAAGGCTTCAGATGTTCAGAACTTTGGTGTCATCCTTGTAATCTGTGTTGCAATTTCACTATCCACAGAAACATGATCCTCCTCTGAGCAGCATTCCTTGTCTGCATTACAAGAAAATGAAGGACAATGAGGAAAGAGAGCAAAACAGTGAGCTCACCCCCAGTGGGGAAGTGTCCCCTGTCAAGCCCCTGAGCCGATCTGCAGAGTTGGAGTTCCCCCTGGAAGAGCCTGACTCCATGGGAGCTGACTCAGGGGCCCTCGATGAGAAGGACCCACTTGGGGCTGAGGCTGCTCCCGGGGCCCTGGGGCAGGTGAAGGCCAAGGTTGAGGTGTGCAAAGACGAATCAGTTGGTAAGTTTCTGGGGTGAACCTCCTTACTTGTTGGCTGGGATCCATCTGCAGGGATGTGGCTGCACTCCACGCCTTTCCTGGGGTCACATTCCTCTTGCTGAAGGCCACCTGTTCCTGCTTTTGTCTGTGAGGAAGGGACTTCTGGGGACCTCTCTCCACTCTTTTGTGGTTGGAAATGCCTGTCTCCCTGATCTTAGAACCTGCCTGGGTCTGCAGGCCCCACATGGCCGGGGCTGCTGTGGAGATGGCTACTCTCAGTGCACACTGGTGTTTTTCTCTGGTTACTTTTGTGCCCTTTCCTGAAATCTTGGTTTTTCAGTAGGATGTGCTCATGTGGCATTGTTTTGATCTGTCTTGATGCGCTCAGAATGAACTTCTTCAATCCACAGATTCAGTACTGGGAGACAGCCACTATTCTGTGGACGTTTCCCTCTTCAACCCCATAATTGCTTTTGGCTATGTATTGCTGTTTCTCTTCTCTCTTCTGTGTCTTTTAGCTTAGGCCTACCCATGAAAGTCTTGGTTGTCTCTACAGTGGTGGCAGACCTCTCAGCCCACCTGCTGAATCTCTTTCAAAGAGGACTTTGTGTTTTCAGGATTTTGGTTATTGCTATTTAGATATTGTCTGAATATTGCTGCCCAGCCTTCGTTGTAACTCTTAGGTGTGAGGAGCCTAGAAAAGCTGGGGTGGGGCGGGGGGGTGCACCACTGCTAAGGGAGAGGCCTTGGTGGAAAGGGCTGGTTGGAGCCTTAGGCATCTGGGGAAAGGCAGCGTGTGTCACTGGCTCCCAGCTTCCCCCCGTGGACAGACTGCTATCTCCCCCGACCTGCTTGCCTGTTGCCTCCCTCCCCATCCACGTCAGCTGCCCCTGTCTTCTGTCCATGTGTCCGGGCTTTTCTCAGGACCCAGCTGGAAGGGAGCTTTCGCTTTAAGACTTCAACGTAATTGTTTCTTTTTTCAAATCCATCTTTTATGCACACGTAACACCTGAATGTGTTCTTGTTTTTTGGAAAACACCTGTCTTTCACTTCTAATTTTACTCCCCTTGGAGAGGTGACCACTTGTACTTGTTTCCAGACTTCTTTGTCTGCATTCACATGTAAAGAAATAATGTGGTTTAGTATGTAACTAAGTGGGTGCAGGTATATTGTTTCACAGCCTTGTGTTTTAACCATGTACTTCTTGGTCTTGCACATGGACTTCCTCCCTCTACTTCCATAGGCGTTGTCTTAGGTCTCGGTGTGAACCACGAGTCCCTGCCTCAGGGCTTACACTTGCATAAGAAACCGGTGAGGGTGATGTGACCCTCTAGGATATCCTGGGAGCGAGAGGGATAGTGGGTGCAACAGTACAAGCTGGAGGCCCCTGGGAACTTCACTGAGTGGAGGTGGGTGGTGAGCAGTGGGATTGGGCCAGGGGCTGTGTGGGGAGAGGCATGACAGGTGCCAGGGCCCCAGCTGCCTGGGTGTGTTGCTGAGTGTGCAGGCAGCCAGGGTGGCCGGAGGGGAAGAGTTCAAGGCACACAGTGCTTCGACTGCTGTGATACTTGTTTTAATACAGGGAGAAAAGTCTTGAAGGCCATCTGGGTTTTTTTTTTTTAAGCTTTTTCTTTTTCTTCTTGTTCCAAATAGACTAAAAGAGCATCTCAGAAATTTGTCCATAAGGGACCTTCCTGAGTAATTTGAGTGACAGGACCTAGTTCAGGGGCGCCTGGGTGGCTCAGTCTTAAGTGTCTGCCTTAGGCTCAGGTCATGATCCCAGGGTCCTGGGATTGAGCCCCATGTCAGCGGGGAGCCTGCTTCTCCCTCTCCTTCTGCGCCTCTCCCCTACTTGTGCTCTCTCTTGTGCACTCTCTCTCAAATAGATAAATAAAATCTTAAAAAAAGAAAAAAGAAAGGACCTGATTCTTTGCTTTCTTTGCCCTTCAAAAGGGAAAGGAGTGGGGAATGGCATGGCGGGGCCTGTTTGATGGGCAGCCTGTCACCATCCTACTCACTGAACAGAGGAAACATGACTCTTAGGTTGGAAGTTAGCAATTTTGTTCTCTGGTAAATCCACACAGATCTTGAGGAATTTCGGAACTACCTGGAAAAGCGTTTTGACTTTGAGCAAGTCACTGTGAAGAAATTCAGGACTTGGGCCGAGCGGCGGCAGTTTAACCGAGAAATGAAACGGAAACAGGCCGAGTCCGAGAGGCCCATCCTGCCCGCCAATCAGAAACTCATCACCCTGTCTGTGCAGGATGCGCCCACAAAGAAAGGTGAGTTGGGGCACGTAAATTTTATCTTGGGCAGATTGGTTATCATGTTTTTTTTTTTCACTTGATGGTCTTAGAACATATGCTTTGTGTGTGAGTTGCATTTACTTCAAAGCTTATGTTTACCCTACGAATGCAGAGGTGCACTACGTTCACGGTGGTGAGCCCTTAATTCAGTGAGTCGCTAACTTGGATGGTGCCAGGTCCCAAGTGCTAGCTTGCGGCAGGTCCTCACGCTGTTGCTGAGATAGGCCTTCTTGTCACAGAGTTTGTCATTAACCCCAACGGGAAGTCCGAGGTCTGCATCCTGCACGAGTACATGCAGCGCGTCCTCAAGGTCCGCCCCGTTTATAATTTCTTTGAATGTGGTAAGTTTGATCTCCCTTGTCTCGGCCCTGAAGAATCCTACACCTTGCTGGGGTCATGGCTGGGGAGGCGGGAACTGATCATTAACCCCACTCTGCTGGGATAGAAGTGAAAGGGCAGGGCAGGGAGAAGCACGCTGCAGGTGGGCGGGTTGTGTTCACAGTTGTGTGCCCCTTCTGAGGACAAATGCCCGTGCCTCCCCCTTTCTTTATCCACACTCCCCCCACTCCCACCTTCTTCTCATCCCTTGCTCTGAGGAAGGCCCCCCACTGCGTCTCCACCTGTCCCCAGGTGGATGAAGGGGCCTTGGGCCTGCACTTTCCACCAGCCGTCTCCTGTCGCCATCCGCGTCATACCTTTGTGAAAACCAGTTTGTCTTCCCCGTAGAACCCTGAACCCAGGAGCACTCATTGTTTTAATGTCGTTCCCTTGGCTTCTTGCATCTGTGCATCTCTGCTCTTCACAGTCCTCTGTCCATCCTTCACAGACTTGATCCCTGTCCCTGGTGGCTTGGCCTCTGGCCTCCTGTTTCCCCTCCAGCTTACTAACTATGGTCCCCCGTTTCCCAGTCTCCCTGGCATGCTCTCTGCCTGTTGACCAATCCTTGGCCCTATCTCCATGCCTCAGGGAGCCCCCGTCTCTGCCTTCCAGCAGTAGCCCTGACCCTGCCTTGTCTGTTGGTGCTAGCAGATTGTATGTGTGCATGCGTGCGCGATTTTATCGTCTTGGCAACTATTTTTAAAACCGTAATTTTAATTTTAAGAGAACCCAAGTGAGCCTTTTGGTGCCTCGGTGACCATTGATGGTGTGACCTATGGATCTGGAACTGCAAGCAGCAAAAAACTTGCGAAGAATAAAGCTGGTAATATGCCTGCTTGGGTGTCAGAGACCCATGCTGCCCACAGTGTACACCCCTCCCCTTGGCTAGGGAGGGCTGGGGGTGAGGCAAATCCATTTGATTTATGTAATCCTCTCACTTGGTTTTTTAAAAGTATGTGCTCATAGGAAAAGACTCAAATAGAGGAAGTAAAACGTGAGAAATAAAACTAGAAAACTCAAACCTCTGCTCTGTGGCAGCTGGGCTAGAATCTCCCGCCCTTGTCCCCACTGCTCACAGAGCTCACTGGGCTGCCGTGAGCACACGTTCTAGGGTGGGGTTGTTCGTAAACCGTGCAAAACGTGGGCATGCTAGATGACAAAGAGGTGGATTTTCACACTTGGCATTCTTGAGTGGTTTTGACATGTGAGAGGATGAATTCCTGAGTCCTTCAATCTCTAGATTTGGGACTGCCCCTCACTGAATGTAGCCTGTCAGATTCCTGGGAAGGCCTATGTTTTCCAGTTAAAAGGGAAGCCATTCTGCCTCACCATCAGGGTTACTTGGCCTCTTCTTGGAAGAAGCACATTTTAGTGTGGGTGTTGGGTGTACACCCCAGGCCTGGTGCCCATAGTTCTATTCTTTTTTTTTTTCTTAAGATTTTATTTATTTGAGAGAGAGAGAGCATGAGCTGGGGGGAGGGGCAGAGGGAGAAGCAGACTCCACTGCTGAGCAGGGAGCCTGATGTGGGGCTCGATCCCAGGACCCGGAGATCATGACCTGAGCCGAAGGCAGGTGCCCCCCACGTTCTATTCTTAAGGTTTCTACCTCTGCTGTAGTGTCTTCCAAAGCACTCTGCCCTGTACAGGCATGAAGTATGTCAGTTTCATCACATTCTTACCAGGTCTCGGGGGGTGGGGGGGTGAAAGTGCTTTTGTTCACATGACTCTGAGTTTACCTTGGAGTTGCTTTCTTTTGTGGTATACGCTGAGGATGATTGAGAGGAAATGTTACTTCTGTCCTTCCTTCTGTGAGGCTGTGCTGGGATCACACACTCCACCCCTTCTCCGGGAAGGCCTGCTGTCCATTTTAGAAAGATTGTGCCAAAAGGCATTTTCAGCTCAGCATACTAGTGCTACCAAGGTCATGACGCAAATAGCTCAGAGTAGGGCCCATTGTGGGGGTGGAAACGTCCTGGCAGTAGGGCTCTGCTCTCCCCACATGTGAGGATCCACTTCCTCTGCCCAGATCCCAGGTGCTCTCTAGATATCTCACTTGCTAGCACCTACGACTCTATAGGGTCAGATTGTTACTCCTCCCCATTCCCCAGCACTCCCCACTACCCCACCCCAGTGGTGAGTGGCAGCCCTGCTCATTCAGAAATCTGTGCTCAGCATTGAGCCATCCCTCTGCTCCATCCTGCAGACGCTTTCTCAAGAGTATCCGTCCAGTCTCACTGCTTTTCCGTCCCACACTCAACAGCAGCCTGCTCAGTCCTCAGGCCTCACTACTTGGCCTGGGTCCTGCTGAGCCATTTGCCTGCATGCCACCACCGTGACTTCTTTGAAACAGATCTCTCCTGCCTTGCCTGCTACAAGTACTTCAGGGCAAGAGTACATACAGCTTTTGTGGCTTAGGAGGCTGCCCACAGCGTAACACTTTGCCCACTGCGTCCTTTGCTCAGGATGTGCTCCTCCGTCCTCTACTCTCCCTGCCTCGGAAGCACTACTGTTCCCCAGGGCCCTTGCTTCCCTCTGAGCCATGGGAATCTTGGCCCTGCGCAGGAGCCAGTGTGCAGCTTGCTCTGGAGTCAGGAAGCAAGCTGGGTCCAAGCCCTCCCCCTTGGGGTTTTTCTTTTCATAGCCCGAGCTACGCTGGAGATCCTTATCCCTGACTTTGTCAAACAGACCTCTGAGGAGAAGCCCAAAGACAGTGAAGAGCTTGAGGTGAGTGTCATAATCCTGCTCTGTCTAGACCTGTGGCTCCAAGGCAGTGTCTGCGCCACCCCCAGGCTAGTGCAAGTATGGATTTAATCATCCAAGCTCCAGGTGATTTTTGTTTGTTCATATTTCGTAAAGGGAAACGTGTTTGCCTTTGTGCAAGCAAGGCAGGGAAATGTCATTTTTTTCTGAGATTTTTGCCCCCTGTGTCTTGTAATGGGTGGCAAAGAGTGTGCACAGTCAGCTCTCCCCTGACTAGATCCATGGTGGGAATCTTTGAGACAGAGTCTGTAAGTTAGTTGTTCTTTGTATTAAGAACTGTTTAAAACTAGTAAACCTTTTTGGATAAATATGATTCTATGGTTATTTGTATTGAGGGCTTTTCAAATTCTGAAGAAGGCTTTCTTTTTTATAATGGCTTTTATTGATCTGTATATTACCATACATTTTGTCCTTTAAACCATACTGTTGAGTGGATTTTCGTATATTCAGAGTTGTGCAATCACCACAATGGTCTAATCTTACAATATTTTCATCTTTCTAAAAGGAAACCCCATACCCATTAGCAGTCACTCCTAATTCTTCCTGTCCCCCAGCCCCTCAATCCCTGGCAACCACTAATCTCCTTTCTGTCTTGATGGATCTGCTAGCTCTGGACACTTCATATCAATGGAATCATATGACATGTGGTCCTTTATTGACTGGCTTTTTTTTAAACCATGCTGTGTTAGCTGTGGGTTTTATCCGATTGAGGAAGTTTCCTTCTGTTTTGCTGAGAATTTTTTTCAGGAATGGTTGTTGGATTTTGTCAAATGCTTTTCTTCTATTGAGATGATCGTGTGGTTTTTGTCTTTTACTTTATTCATATTAGTGGTATATTGCATGGGTTTTTGAATATTAAACCAATCTTGGATTTCTGGGACAAATTCCACTTGGTTTTGGTGTACATAAGTTTTATGTGTTGCTGGATTTAGCGTGCTGGTATTAAGGATTTCTGCAGCTATATTTATAAGGGATACTGGTCTGTAGTTTTCTTGTAATGTGTGGTGTTGGGGGGATACGGTCTTTACAGAATGAGGTGGAAAATGACTTTCTCTTCTCTTGTGTGGAATAGTTTGTGAAAGGTTAGTATTAATTTTTAAACATTTGGTAGAATTCACAGTGAAACCATCTGAGTTTAGACTGGATTTTGATGTTACTTAATTACGTTATTTAATGTTCACGTGTACTTCTCTTCAGATTTCCTGCTCCTTTTTGAGCTGGTTTGGGGACTTTTTATGTGTATAGGAATTTTTCCGTTTGCTCTAGGCTGTCTCATTCATTGGCATACATCTTTCATAGTGTGCGCTCATGACCCGCTTTATTTGGCAAGGTTGTGCTGATCCTGCATTCACTCCTGATTTTAGTAGTTTCCGTCTCTTCTCTTGGTCAAGTCTAAGGTTTGTCACTGTCATCGATCTTTCAATGATCCAACTTCTGGTTTTGTTTGTTTTTTCCTATTGGCTTTTTTATTTCTTTATTTTCTATTTCATTTATTTCTGCTCTAGCCTTTATTTCAATACTTTCTTTGGCCAGTCTTAGGTTTAGTTTGTTCTTTTCTAGTGTCTTCAGGTTAGGGTATTGATTTGAGGTCTTCTTTTTAAATACTGGAATTTATGGCTATAAATTTTTTTCTGTGTACTACTTTAACTGCAGCCCATAAGCTTTAGTGTGTTGTGTTTGTTTTTGTTCATCTCAGTATTTTTCTAATTTCCCTTGCGATTTCTTCCTTGAACGATTGGTCATTTTAGGAGTGTTTATTTTTCATATATTTGTGAATTTCCCAAATTTCCTTTAGTTGTTGATCTTTAATCTAATTCCACTGTGGTTCGAAAACATAGTTTGTATGATTTCAGTCAGTCGTTTTAAGTTCACTGAGGCTTGTCTTAGGACCTAGCATACAGTCTGCCCTGGAGAGTGTTACCTGTGTGCATGAGGCAAGTGTACTTCCTGCTGTTACTGGGTGAAGCAGGTGTCGGTTAGGTCCATTTGGTTTGTGGTGTTTGTTCTATATCTTTTTTGGTCTTCTGCCTTGTTCTTCTGTTTTGTTTTCTTTTTCCTTGAGAGAGAGAGATCGAGTGAGAGTGTGCATGTGCGTGCCCGTGGTGGGGAAGGGGCAGAGGGGGACGGAGAGAGAGAATCCCAAGCAAGCTCCATGCCCAGCACGGAGCTGGAGTCCGACTCAGGGCTCAGTCTCATGACCCTGAGATCTCAACCTGAGCTGAAATCAAGAGTTGGATGCCCAACCGACTGAGACACCCAGGTGCCCTGCCTTCTGTCTGTTATTGAGAGTGGGTATTGGAGTCTCCAGCTGTTATTCTTGAGTTATTTCTCCCTTCACTCTGTCCATTTTTGCTTCATTTATTTTGGGGTTGTTGTTATATACATACATGTTTGTGGTATTGTGATATAATAAGAAGTATATGTTTGGTGTTTGTTCTTGGTTCCTGGTGCAGAGCTTCTACAATATATTAGTGTTTGTTTTTTGTCCCCAGTTCTTTAAAAAGCTGCAGGTTGATAAAGGTGAATGGAATGTCTTTTCTTATTTTTAACATACCCATTTTTTCTTTTTAATTTTATTTATTTAAGTAATCTCTATACCCAATGTGGGGCTCAGACTCAAGACCCCAAGATCATGAGTTTCATGTTCCACCAACTGAGCCCCTAACACATCCCTTTCAACCACCCCTGAGTTTATGTTAATTAAGTGACTTTTGGACCATCCCTTTGAATGGGAGCTGGTTGCCTGTGGAATCTACCATATAATTAGAGGGTTAGAACTTTCAGCCCCCCCCTTTCCCATGTGTGTGGTGTGTGTGTGTGTGTGTTTAGGAGGCAGTGGAGGTTGAGCTACTCGCTAATGGCCAATGATGTAATCAGTTATGCCTGTGCAGTGAAGCCTTCATTTAAAAAAAAAAAAACCTGAAGGGGTTCAGAGAGCGTCTGGGTTGATGAACCACATTGAGGTGCTAAAAAAGATGGCATGCTGAGAGAAGGCATGGAAGCTCTGTACCCCTTCCTTTATACTTTGCCCTATTTATCTTTTCAATCTGGTTGTTCCTGAGTTATATCCTTTTGTAATAAACCAGTTCTCTGTTATAAAGTAAACAGTTGTCCTGAGCTCTGTGAGCTGTTCTGGAAAATTATTGAAGCTGAGGGAGGGTTGGGAATCGGTATTGTACAGCTGCTCAGTCAGAAGCACAGGTGACAACCTGGACTTGAGTCAAGTGATGGCAACAGTCTTGTAGGACTGAGCCCTTAACTTGTGGAGTCTGCTGCAACTCCTGGTAGTTAGCGTTAGAACTGCTTGGTGTGGAAACCCACTCATTTGGTGTCACAAGTGTTGAAACTGGAAGTCAGTTCTGTTTAATGTTCATTATATTAATGTCATCTTGATGGATGGGCCCTTTGTCATTATTAAATATCCTTTATTTCTAATAACAATTTTTGTCTTAGAGTCAGTTTTATCTGATATAGTCACTCCTACTCTCTTAATTATTCTTTGTGTGATATGTGTTTCCTTCTTTTTACTTTTAGCCTATTTGTGACTTTGAATCTAAATCATGTCTCTTATAGACAGCATATAATTGGGTTTTGTTTTTATCCTTCTGTCAGTCTCTGCCTTTTGATCCGAGGGCTTAGGCAATTTTTTGGGAAGATTTCATTTTATTTTATTTTTAAACAATTAATTTATTTGAGAGAGAGTGTGAATGAGAGTGAGGGGAGGGGCTGGGGGAGAGAATCCTCATGCAGACTTCCCACTGAGCGTGGAGCTGCCCTGCTCAATCCCAGCACCCATGAGACCATGACCTGAGACAAAACTAAGAGTCGGATGCTTAACTGAGCCACCCAGGCGCCCCTAAAGATTTCATTTTTACATAATCTCTGCACCCAGCATGGGGCTTGAACTCACAATCCTGAGATCAAGAGTTGTATGCTCCACTGACTGAGCCAGCCAGGCACCCGTTTTTATTTAAATTTATTGACTTGTTTTGTTTTGTTTTGTTTTTCAGCGGGGTGGAGGGGTGGGGTGCTTAGTCCATTGAAATGTAATTCCTGATAAGGTAGAATTGATGTATGCCACGACACTGTTTGCTTTCTGTTTTATGTCTTTCTGTTCCTCATTTCCTCCATTACTGTCTTCTTTGCCTTAAATACTTTATAGTTATTTTCTCAGTGGTTGTCCTAGGGAATTTCAGTCACATCTAAACTAAAAACAATCTAGCTTGGACTATTGCCAGCTTACTTCAATCATATACAAAACTTTGCTCCTATATAGCTCTATTTACCCCCACTTTTATGCTTTCACTGTCACAAATGACATCTCTGTATGTCATGTGTCCATAAACATGGATTTATAGTTATTGCTTTATGTAGTTGTCTTTTAATTCAGGTAGAAAAAAAGAGAAACAATATGTGTTTATACTGTCTTTTATTTACCGTAGTTACCTTTACCTTTTGCAGTGCCCTCAGTTTGTTAACAGTCTGTAGTGTTCCTTTTATTTCAGCTGGAAGGCTCTTAGTATTTCTGGGAGGGCAGTTCTGCTAGCAGTGGATTCTCTCAGGTTTTGCTGATCTGAGAATGTCTTAATGATTCCCTTTTTTGTTTTTTTTAAAGATTTTTGTTTATTAGAGACAGCGAGAGCAGGAACACAAGCAGGGGGAGTGGGAGAGGGAGAAGCGGGCCCCCCACCAGAGCAGGGAGCCTGATGCAGTCTCTTAACTGACTGAGCCACCCAGGTGCCCCTGATTCCCTTTTTTGAAGCATGGTTTTGCTGGTTATAGAATTCTTGGTTGACATTCTTTTTCTTCATAGTGGGAATATGTCATCCTACTGCCTTCTGGCCTCTACAAGGAATGAGAGGTCAGCTGTTCATCTTACTGAGTCACATTATTGATGAGTTGTTTCTCTTACTGTTTTCAAGGTTTTCTCTTTGGTCTTTGACAGGTATGTGTAGGTATAGATT